CTAGTAGATACACAGACCCTTTAGATTCCTTGGTCCTGAAACTCCCCAAGCTACCCATTTTACCTGTTATAGCTGTGAACTAAAGAAAAACAACCCTATTTCTATGTGCTTGGATTTCTTCCACGATGAGTCATGGTTCAAGTTGTATCATAAGTTTTATGAAATATAACATCTGTCTGTCAAGACACTCATTGTTCTGAGATTGGCTGTGGTCTGAGTGTGACAACGTGGCCTCGCTCCATAATGGAGCCAGCTGGATCATTTGTGGGCTCTTCTTTGTCAAGTTTTTGTAAAGCCTAGTTATCTGACATTAGCAGATGTCCTGTAGATGTTCCATCTTCTGGTTTGGCCAATAACCTGGTGATTAATTCCAGAGGCCCCAACGAGGCTGATGTTGGCAGAGAGATAAATGCAGTTTGGATTTAGATGTGGGGGTTGGTATTGGCCTTTCTTGCCGCTAAGATGACTTGGCTTTGTCTTGGAGACTATCTTTGAGGATAAAATCCTTAGCTTAAGCAGCAGCAGCAGACAGGAATGCGTTCAGTGAATCCCTACAGCCCTCTGCTGGCCTTTATCATATCTGAGGTTGTGAATAGATTCAGTTTAAGTGTTTCTATCCAGAGTTGTAATAGGTGCCTATGGAATAATTACCCTAATGGCCCACTATTCCCTCAGGGCATGTTCTGTTGTAACATTTAGCTACATCCTATAGTAGCTTTTGGACAAATGAAATAGTTTTGTCTGTTTGTTTTTTTTTTTTTTTACCCCCCTCCCAAAGAGAAGAGAGGATTGAAAATTCCCTAAATTACTTGAAGCAGATGTCAAAATTTTGCTCAACTAATTAATGAGGGAACTGACAGGGAAGACATAAAGAACAGTTTCTCTAAGTTCTTACAGGGTGTGTGTATATGATTAGCAAAAGTAAAAGGTTGGATATAAATTTGACTAACTTTCTACAGGGCAGTAAAACTATAACTTCTCTGTAATATTTTTGGGGTAATTTCTCTATTAGGCTACAAAAACAATACAAATCATAGAACCCTAATAATGTCTGCAAATTAACCTCAATTTTTCACAACTGCACATCATTGTGCTTTATCAGTTTTGCGTTGTTGGTCAAATATCCTATGACAACAGGGTCCCATTCCCTAGGTTAGAGTTTTAGTTAAGGGTGGAGCACGTTTGATTGCAAACTGCTGTCTTACCAGGCTATGCAGAATGATGTTTGGATTGGCAGCACTGGTGTCACTGGGGAGCTTGAAAAGAATGTAGACTCTCAGGCCATACCCTGAATCTTTAAAGTCAGAACCTGTGGTATAGATTCAATGTTTGTCCACTTAAATGTACATGTTAAAACCTAATACCCAATGTGATGGTATGAAGAGGTGGAGCCTTTAGAAGGTGATTAGGTCATGAGGCCTCATGAGTGGAATTAGCATGCCTCACCAGACACACAATCTGCTGATGCCACAATTATAAACTTCCCAGCTAACACAACTGTGAGAAGTAAATCTTTGTGGTTTGTAAACTGCCCAGTTTAGGGCATTTTTGTTATATAAACCCAAACAGACCAGGGCAATCTGCATTTTAATAAGATGTCCATATGTTCATGCACACATGAGCATTTAAGAAGCACTGCTTTAGACTGGTATTTTTTAAATCAGGCACTTACAGTTGCTACTCTTTCCAGGTCTGGGATATGTGGTGCTTCCACAGTACTTCCCACTTGCCCTGCTTGGTCTGTGGTAGGCCTAGGTCAGCCTCCAGAATGATCCTTGGATTCTAGTCACTGGACTCAATGTCCAAGTCCTTTCAGCCAGCTCTAGGCAGATTGTCACCCTGAGTGACAACCCGGCAGTAGTTGTCTTCTCCCATTTCTTCTTCTTTTTAAGATTTTATTAATTTATTCATGAGAGACACAGAGAGAGCCAGAGCTAGAGGCAGAGGGAGAAGCCACAGGCAGAGGCAGAGGCTCCCTCAGGGGAGCCTGATACAGGACTCCATCCCAGGACCCTGGGATCACAACCTGAGCCAAAGGCAGACACTCAACCACTGAACCGCCCAGGCGTCCCTCTTCTCCCACTTCTGAATTAGGGTTTCTGTAGCAAGTCTATAGGGACTCGGTTTGGGCCCTGCTTCTACCACTATATGGACTGATGCTTTACATGTATTGTCATGTTAACCCTCACAAAACTCATAGGAGGAGGTATCATCATCCCCATTTCTCAGAGAAATGCCCAAGATCACATGACTAGAAAACACCCAGGTGGGGATTGAAAGCAAATTCCAAACCCCTAATTTCCATGCTGTCCCCTGTCACTTAACCATGTAAGCCCTTGGCTTTCAGATCTAATTCAACTGGAAGAGTTTAAATATCTTTCTATCTCTAAAATCTTTGCATCCACTGATATATTGAAAGCTTATGAACTTCATTGCTAATCAAGAGGGATCCTATAACAATTATTAATAATCAACATCCTCTTGGTACCATTAACTAGGCACCAATAACAAATAAACTCTTCAGAAATCTTCTATACTCTTTGAGTACCCAGCCCACAGTTCCAGCATCATTTATTAGTTTTTTGTTTGTTTGTTTTTTGTTTTTTTTTTTTTTTTTAGTAATTGTTTACTTACCTGCTTCTCTCACTTAGAACTGCCTTCTGGGGAGGAAGGGATGGGGTGCTGAAGCTAGGAGAGTCCTTTACATATGTACAGTGCTCAACAATTTTTATTGATGTACACTAAGCCAGCAGACATAAAAATAGACTTGGAAACCCTCCAATTGTAGGACTCGATCAGTCTAGTCGATATTGAATATAAGTCTGTCATTAGATTTATACCCACATATTTATATGCATGAAATAAAACCACCATTCTGTTGCACAGCAGAGGATTTATTTCACATATAAATTCTTTTAAATAGGCAGGAGTCTCTTGCTCTACATTTCCTTTGCTTAGTGGCATGGTAAGTGTGAAGGAAAGAGGCATAAATGACAGAATTAAATGACAATATAACAACCATTGATCTGGTAACAAATGATAAATAGTTTCAAAAAAGGAATGTGTAAGCTTTTCATAGGATTAATTAAGGTTGGGGATTCTCAACTGGGGGCCATTTTGCCTCCTATGGGACATTAGGCAATGTCTAAAGACATTTTTATTTGTCAGGCTGGTGAAGTTGTTACTGGCATCTAGTGTGGAGAGACCAGAAATGCTGTTAAACATCCTAATGTACAGAACAGCCCTTCACAACAAAGAATTCTTCAGCCCAAAATGTCAGTAGTGCTGAAATTGGGAAATCTTGATTTATAATACAACCCCAAATAGTGCTTGAAATTTAGTACATCTTTATTGGTTGATTGCTTGGTTCAGCACATGACCTCTGACACCCTTGGTATCTCCATGATTAGATAAAGAGAGTCATTGTCTAATAGTGATCCAGAGGCACCATTAGTCCCAGAACTGCCCTCTGTATCATAACAGAGTGTGGCTGACTCAGGGGTCTCCCTTCCTCTCAAAGCCTGGGACCCACCATCCAGGACAGGTCCCATATGTGTCATTTATCTGTTTATGTACATGCCCATTGCCTGTAACTAGACCATATACTCCTGTTGGCACAAGACGTATGTTTCACCTCATTGCACTCATTTGCCACAGTCTCCCATAAGTCTGTCTTATAATGCTTTGGCACTCAGGGCATAACAATGATGCTTTACTTTTGAAATTCATTGGTTAAGGAGTTTGTCATCTGTAAATATCCTCTATAGTAAATTGCAACTAATGAGAATGAAGAGTGACTAGAATCACCCATTCTTCCACCATTCGGGATAAATTAAGAGTCATGGTATTTGACATTCAGATTTGTGTTCCTGGGGTCAGGGTTTATTCTGGGTGTTTAGAGTTACAGTTAGAAAATTCCTTAAGTTTCATTTTCTTCCTTGATTCCCTGGTTTGTGAGAATATTGTCTTTATTTGGGAAATAAAATAGAGTCTTCATTCGCACAAGAAAAACAAAAACAAAGTATTTCTGGCCAGATACATGTGTTTGGTAAGACATGATGGGAAGTTGACATTTAAAGGTATCTGACGAGTGATCAGCCCTATTTAAGTTTGTGATGTAGGTAGGAGGTGTGTTTGGCATCCATCTCCTTACTTCCCTGGGTATGCTCCCACCCCTGGGTGTCCCCGTGCCCTGCATTTCCAGAATCACTGATGCTTGCCACCAGGAGAAACATCTGAGGAGCACTTACTACTTTGGTGTCTTGCCCAGGTCAGGGGCACTTGTATTTTAAAATCCAAAACGGATGAATCACTACTAATAGGATTTCAAATATTAGACCATTAGGGCAGGATTGATTTGGGGAAGTCCTTCCTCAATGTCCTCCAAATCACACCGTCTTTAGCAAAAGCAGGTGAAGCAAACATCAGCGAGACTTCCATATTTCAACATATCCAACTTATTATTTGTTCTGTGACTATCAATTGGAACAAGTTCCTTTAGCTTCTAACAGGAAAGAAGACAGAGTCCAAAGCTCTTTGATCTTTGCAAAGGAAGCCTATTAACAGATAAATGCCAATACAAATAATTTTACTGCAATCCAGCCCCAGTTTTTTTCTGGAGCTTTGCAAGGGCAGGAATTATAGTTCTGCAGCAGTTTAGAGAGTGCAATTTAGAAAGGCCATAGGACTTCTGATGGTGGCAATATTTGTGTCTGGCACTAGTCCATTTTCTAATCATGACCCTACTTGTAGGTTACTCTTCTGCTACCTTCCGTATGATGAGTGAAGTCCAAGGGCACAGCAAGTACATTCCAGAGCCAAGCTTGAGTCCCTGTTTTGTGATTGCGAATGTCTTGGCCTCCTGCTGTGATAACTCTCCATCATAAGCAGACGCCTCTGCTGACCTCAGGGAGTTTTCCCACTGAAGGGGAGGGTCCAGACACCATGAGAAAGAAGATGGTTTGCTAAATATGCTAATACAGGTCTTTCTTGTTTTCCAGGTTTTGGAGGCGCCCTGGGTTACCTTTTGGGTGCCATCGACTGGGCCCATCTGGAGATAGGAAGAGTATTGGGTTCAGAATTCCAGGTCATGTTCTTCTTCTCCGCTTTAGTGCTTACTTTGTGTTTTATTATTCATCTCTGCAGTATCCCTGAAGCCCCACTTAGAGATGTTACAAAGGACATTCCCCCACAGCAAGCTCCCCAGGATTTTCTATTGTCATCAGACAAAATGTACCAGTATGGGTCTATTGAGAAAGCTAAGAACGGTTATGTAAACCCAGAGCTGGCATTGCAGGGAGAAAAAACCCCAAATCCTTCTAAACAGGTAAGATGCAAATTCTTTTTTCTTTACTCAGGAAAAATATCCTTGTTCTTACCCTTCTTATTTTTTTTTATTATTCTTTTTTTTTTCTAACAACTTTCATACAAGCTCAGTCAATCTCTATGAGTCCGACTTCTCTTGGGTTAGCCTATCTATTTTCTAGGACTATTGGGATATTTAACTAAGATAAGGCATGCAAAGGTGCTTTTTAAGCTTTATATAAGTAAATGAGCATATTATAGTCATTCATTCAACAAACTACTTCGGTTACCAAGTACGTGGAAAGCACTACTAGGTATTGAGGGATCATAAAACAGATTATTAATCTCTGCTCCCTGTGCTCAAGAATTTACAGCCATAACAGGGGGCATAATAATACCAGTTTATAACAATACATATTCCAAGGTCAAATATACTTATTTTCCAAAACGAGAGAGGTGGCAGTACAGTTTGGAAGTTGGAAATTTTTTTTTAATGCCAAGAGGAGGCCTGAATTATTTCAGGATTCAAACTGGATCCCATAAAATTCATCCTCAATTCCTTCATGCCATCATTGCTTACTTTATCATTTCAGTAGTCTCCTTTTGAGTGTACTCTTAGGAAGTTCTCTTCCCCACTCTCAGCTCTGGGCCTTTTTCATGTATAAATGCACCACCACCCAATCTCCAGTTGACAAAAGTGTACAATACGTTCAGTAGAGCAACTCCCAAGGGCTCAGAACCATTGAAAGGGCTTCACCAAGGGAACAGATGAGTCACATAATAAGATGCCAGCTGAATTTTCATTCTGAGTTAAAATACCCAAAGGGCTTTGAATATTTACATTCCCAGCTTTTACAGAAATACTAGGCACAATTTGAAAGCTCATATTTATTTTTGGATGACAGGGAAAATTAGATTAACAATGAAAGTAGGATGAAAATTATGTATAAGGCAGAAGCATAAATTAATATTTGGAATGAGAATGAATACTTCTGGCCACATTCACTTTTAAAAATTTTGCATTTTTGGAAAGAAAAGAAGGAAAATAAGAATAAATCACTGAGTCTGAGGCATGAAATTCAGGCTGTTGTTGTTCAAAGATTTCATTTTTATTTTTTAAAGTAATCTCTAAACCCAACAGGGGCTCAAACCTACAATCCTGAGATCAAGTGCTGCATGCTTTACCAACTGCCCCAGCTGTGGGCTCCTGTTGATTTTTGTTCTATGCCCTTAGCTTCTTCCTATGGTTGAGTAAAAAGTAACAATCGTGCATTGAATTTATTTTTCAGTCAACATTTATTTTGACAGTTACCATATTCTATGGGCAAGAAAGTTATTTTTCCTAATTCCAGAGGAATGTCTATACTTTTTAAATACAGTCGTCCTCATTTATCTGAAGTTTCACTTTCTATCTTTCTGTTACCTATGGTCAACCACTATCTAGAAGCAGATGATTTACTGTCAAAAGGTCAATAGTAGCTTAATGCTATGTCGTCCACCTCACTTCATTTCATCACATAGGCATTTTATCATCTCATGGCATCACGAGAATAAGAAGAGTGAGTATAACATAATCATGTATTTTGGGAGAGAGAGACTACATTCACACAACTTTTATTACAGTATATTGTTATAATTGTTCTATTTTATTATGTTATTGTTAATTTCCTACTGTGTCTGATTTATAAATTAAACCTTATCATTGGTATGCATGTACAAGAAAAAACATAGTCTATATACAGTTCAGTACCATGTGCAGTTTCTGGCATCCACTGGGGGCCTTGGAACGTACATGCCATGGATAAGGGTGGGAATGACTGCATGAGAAGATCAGTTCAGTCATGGCCAGTAGGTTAAATACTACAAAATTGAAAAATTAAAAAAATAAATTTATCTAATAAATGTACAAAAAGTAAATATATTTTCCACAATGAAGAATTAAAAAGCATTATTATATAAAATTAAGAATTATAAAATAGCTGTTATAGTTAAAATAGAAACTCCCATGAGAATACCTTGTAAATAAACTAGCCAAGACTCAATTTCATTGTGTCAAGATTAAGAACAGATAAAGATTTGACAAGACCTATTATCCCACAATGACTGATGTTTATAGTCTCAGTGAGTGTCTTAATATTCCCAAGGTTTCTTTCTCCTCTTATATAACAAGATGCTGAAAGCTGTTTTATTCTTTGTATTTCAAAACAGTTGTGTCAGTAGTTCAAAATTTCTGATTTTCTCAAAGCTTCTGATATAAAAAAAGTATAGCTGCTGGTTTTAACATAATTTAAGTCTAAATTAAAGAATATGGGTATGTGTATTGATTGTGTGTGTGTGTGTGTGTGTGTGTGTATTCTATATTGTCTTCACTTCAGACTCCACAAAGGGCTCATTTTAAAAAAATATTTTATTTATTTTTGAGAGACACACAGAGAGAGAGAAGCAGAGACACAGGCAGAGGGAGAAGCAGGCTCCATGCAGGGACCCCTATGTGGGACTTGATCCCGCGTATCCAGGATCAGGCCCTGGGCTAACCCACCTTGTTGAGCCGGACTGCCCACAAAGGGCTCATTTACATGTGCTGGCTCATGGCAGGATCCAGAGAAATAAACTAGGAAGAGGTACTTGACCAAAACCAGGGAGCTGATTTGCTCTTTGTATTAGTTTTCTATTGCTACCTAGCAAATTACCACAGTTTGCACAGCTTAAAACCATATTTATTATCTCATAGTCCTGTAGATCAGAGTTCTGGGTGGGCTCAACTGGGCTCTCCGCTTAGGGTCTCACAAGGCTGAAATCAATATGTTGATGGAGGAGCATTCTCATCTGGAGGCTCAACTGGGGAAGAATCAGCTTTTGGGCTCATTCAAGTAGAATCTAGTTCCTTGTGTTTGTAGGACTAAACTGCTTATTTTCTTACTGACTGATGGCAAGAAGTCACTCTCATCTCCTAGAGTCTACTCTAAGATCCCTTTCACGTGATCCCTTCCACCTTCAAAGCCAGCAACCCTTGTGCTTTGAAACTCTGATTTCCTCTTCTACTCCCACCTGGAGAAAATTCTTTGCTTTTTAAATTGCTCATGTGATTTGGTTAAGGTCACCCAGATAATCTCCCTTTTGATTAACTCAAAGTCAAGAAATTAGTAACCTTAATTAAATCTGCAAAATCCCTCTGCCATGTAGCATAGCATAATTATAGGGTAACATCAGAGGACAGGGATCATGTGGCCATCTTAGAATTTAGCCTAACATGCTTTCAGATTCAAGAAATCTAAGAATTATAATAATCTAAGGGCTAGCTTAGATCTGTGAGCCTTGTCCTCATGTAGTGGTTCTGCCATCCAAAGACAGGATGCTAGATATCTCTTACATCTTGGCCCAAAGCAAACCCCATTTCCAGACCTTTTACCCTTAGGTCTCCAAAACCTTATTCAGGGCCCTCATACTTGACAGAGCACTTCCTATAAGACCCCTCCGTGGAAACCTTGGTGACATGCCCAGAAAGTGTGATGCTGTGGGGTAATTGACTGACACGTATGTGACATGGCTGTGTGCTCTGGCTCACACAGCTGGCTGCATGTCTGCACTGAAGGTCACACCTGTTTCCTGTTTTGTTCCAGATTAGTAAGACAATGACCATGACATCACTGCTGAGGGTGCTGATGAATATGCCTTCCCATTACCTCTGCCTTTGCATCAGCCACTTCATTGGATGGACTGCTTTCCTGTCTAACATGCTCTTCTTCACAGATTTCATGGGCCAGGTAATAAACATGTCTGTGCACAAACTCATTGACTTGCATATCAGTCCTTCACACAGCACCTGTTGAGTTTCTTCTGGGCTCACCCCAAGGATGGGCACAGTAAGAATGTAAGGAAGAGTACCTTTAAGGAGCTGTCTTACAGACAGGAACTGGAGACAAGTTACTACACCCTAGAAATCTCTATGGGACCAGGACTTATCAAATACAACAAACAGGAAAGAATCAATGTGAGCTGCAGTAGTCGTGGCAGGCTAAATAAAGGAGGTATAGTATAGTCCTGGCATTGAAAGGTGAATAGGAGTTGGACAGAGAGAGAAGAGGGAGAAAACATTCCAAGCAGGAATAGGAATGGCATTGTGGAAATGAGTCAGAAGAAGCCTGTTGGTTATACCAGAAGAAGGGTATCAGGGTTGCTTAGTCAGGTGGGGGCCAGATATTAGGTGGAAGGAAGGGTGTTAATGATCCAGGGAGATACTGTTTAGACTTGATGACATTAGGACTTCTTGAAGGTCCTTGAGTAGAAGTGTAGAAGGATGAAAGGGGTGATGTGGTCATGGGAGAATGAACTCTGTGTCCTGGGAAGGGCCCCCTGGGCAGGGACATGTCACTCCTCAGGATGGAGAAGCAGAGTACATGAAAGGGGGTCCCTACCACACTGCATTTGTATCTCAACAGCCACAAATCTCTTTCAGATTGTATACCACGGGGATCCCTACAGTGCACACAACTCCACAGAGTTTCTCATCTACGAAAGAGGGGTCGAGGTTGGATGTTGGGGCTTGTGCATCAATTCCGTGTTTTCCTCACTTTATTCTTGTAAGTCTCTTCCTCCTCAAGGTGTCTTCTAGAAGGCTCTGGTCTAGCAGAATATTGAATTTTATGCATTTATATGTATTCTTTTGCTCTTTAAAATACCAGATTCTTGAGGTGCCTAGGTGTCACAGTTGGTTAAACATCTAACTCTTGGTTTCAGCTCATGTCCTGATCTCAGGGTTAAGAGATAAAGTCCCGTATTGGGTTCCTCCCTTAGCTTGGAATTTGCTTGGGATTTTCTCTCCCTCTTTCTCTGACCCTCCCACTCATGCTCTCTTTCTCTCTTTCAAATAAATAAATTAAATAAGTAAAACATCATATTCTTGATAAATTATGGAAATCAGGAAAAACTATTCCCTTAGGACCACAGGAAGTAACCTTTTCCATACTGAATTCTATGTTATTTTCCTCATTGATTAGCCTTTCCTTGGAATCCATGGGTTCTTGATCAAAGTTCTCTAGAAAATAAAGGGAAACCTTGTAAACAAGTTAGTGAAGTATTGGATGCACAAGGGCTACAGTCCCAGCACTGACTATCAGGTCTATGTTCTACTGGAGAAAGTACACTGGTGGAATTTCACAGATATGTTTATTAGATCTGTAGATGACAGAACATAGGAGGGATGGTTAATATGCTAGGTGACAGAATTAATGTGCAAAATGACCTTAGTTCAAGTGAGGGAGGAAGGCATGTCACAGGAGCACTGTTCCAGGATTAAGGATGACAACTTTCTTTCTCAGGTACCAGCTTTCCATGGGGACTGGAGTTCATTAACCCCTGCTTAGCTAAGTTTCAGTTCTAAAGACACTGCAAACAAAGAAATTTCTGTGATTGGTTTTATTTATTGTGTTTTTATAAAAAGATTTTATTTATTTAAGAGAGAGAGTGCACATGTGGGGGGAGGAGCAGAGGGAGAGGGATAAGCATATTTTGCACTGAGTGCAGAGCCTGATGCAGGGCTCAATCCCAGGGATCCAAGATCATGACTTGAGCTGAAATCAAGAGTTGGTCTCTCAAGAGACTGAGCCACCCAGGCACCCCTGTGACTAGTTTCAAACATCCCAAACTAATGTACTATATAACACTAGTATCATTTGGTGCCCAGCAATGTATACGGAAATCTCCAAGCTCTGTATACATTGAATTAAGTGAAATAATCTAGCCAATAAAATGTATGCAGGCCTCCCATTGGAATGGAATTGGAATGGAAATTGGGCTTCTAATAATAAAGGGAGCTCTCCTGGATTGTGGGGAGATAGCTGGACCCCAACTCAGAGCTCTAAGATTTGGGCAGGTCCAGGGGACAGCAAGGTTGTGACCCAGGTGGTAAAGGGGGAAGTGATGGAGGACAATCCCTGTTACCATTCTCAGGGGCACTCATTCTGTCATTGAAGTGTGCTTTTTAGGGGGAAGAGAGTGAATGTATATATTAACCCCTTGTCTGACCTCCAACTAGCCATAGCACAGCAGGAAACCTGCTGCAAGATAAAAAAAATCTCTTCAAAATATAGCACAACTGGGGAAAGGGGACCTAATACAAACATGTAAGTAATTCATGGCCTAGTAATCATGAAGCCATAAAATTTATTTTTTAAAAATTTATGATAAGCAAATAATAGCAGCTTAAACCTTGTATTTCGCCTTTTTCCCCCTTAGAGTGCATGAACTAAGAACATTCTTAGAGGAAGATGTCAAGTACTTAAAATAGAATCTGAGAGTGGTAGATTAAGGGTCTAATTATTCATCTCAATCCCTTTATGTTTTCTAGAGATGGGGGACTATTTACTACCACCTTCATTCTTGTAAGAGGAGCCCATTTTTTCCACAAGTAATAAGTATTTTAGTTTTGTGTCAATTAAAAAGTAATTTTTTTCAAAGAATCCCTACCAGGGACCATCCATTAGTCTAGTCTTAGTTCCATTTCATGGCACTTGAAAATTAAAATGCATGTTATTTTTAGGCCCTGTTGAGTTAAAAGCTCTGTGTACAATAAACTATTATTTGAATCGTTTTCCAAAGTTATTTTAATGTATAAACCAGTGGGATCCCTTTCACTTGAATTAGAACTAAAATTCTATTTATAAAATACCAACCAGCCCTTAAGGATCTTCAGGGGCTCTCCATGACCATAAGATAAAAAGTCAAAGTCCTCAGCCTGGCATTCCATGATTTTCAGTTTGGTCCGATTCGCACTTTGACCCCTCTCACTCCAGTTCAGATTCACTACACCTCATGACTCACTACACAGGCTTCTTCAGCTCTGTGGATTTTCTACTGCTTTTGGTTTCTCCTTCTCCAGATGTTCTTTCTAATTCCACATCTGGACAACTGCTAATCATGCTTTTAGACTCAGCTCCAATGTGACTTTGTCTGTTAAGCCTTCCAAGTTCTTTCCCCCTGCATTCCAACCCACCCTGAGCAAAATCAATCATTTCCTTCAATTCCAGAGTGCACCCTCTATTTTGGGCTCATCACATAACATCAGATGAGAATCCAGAATTTCTATCCAGATACAGTTTGGCAGGGCAATCTGGCTGCTAGGGTGAAGGGTGAGGTATGATATTTTCAAGTTCCTTTTGCATAGCAAACATACTCAGATCCATGAAAATGGCAATATTTAATACTGGAAAGTAGCCAATTTTTCATATCCTACAGTACTATTCATAGCTGGTGCTTAAGTCCATCATTTCCCTCCAATACCAATGGGAGGCACAGTGTGAGGACATAGCCACAACTGGGTATCAGACCCAGTAGAGGGCGAGTCAGCTTGGCCTTTACACTTATTGATTTCTCTTCATGGATAAGGGATTCTTTGCTTGGCTTTCAGTCTTTGTTCTGAAGTTACTTCTGTTTCCAAATAGCGCTTTATGCTTTTTTACCTTCTTCTTGTCTGGCCTATATAATTGGATGAGAGCATTTCCTCAGTGACTACTGATGGTGTCTTTTAAATACTGAGATACCTAGATTACATTTTTCGTATAATCATTAAGCAAACAGAAACTGAACTAACTATATACTGCTCTCACTCTTAACCTTGACAACAGCTCCCTGGGGGATGGTATGGATTTAATAGAGAAAGCAATGTTGCCCACTTGTCATTTTCAGAGCTCTGATTTCCATAGCATGATCTGAGACAGTGTTTAGTTTCATAATATATTCAGTTGTAATCCAGATTAGGTTTCTGGTCTATGTGATGTGAGTCCAACAGTTCTTTGTATAGATAGGGGAAATTTCATTCTTGAATAGATACATTTCAGGTCTTAGCATTCATCCCCTGGGTTCATGTGTTCCAGTAGAATGGTCAGGGGAAAGATAGGAAGCATATAGATTAGAAACAGCTATTTAAAAAGAAAGAGCAAAGTTTTTTAGGGATCTCATTTGAAAGAGCAAAGTTTTTTAGGGATCTCATTTGATCCTGGAGACAATCACAAAGAAGGGTTTTATTAATGTCTCTTCTTTTTTTTTTTAAGATTTTTTTTTTTTAGTTGAGGCTGAGATTTTGAAAAGATAAGGGAATGGACAGATGGTGAGGGAGTCAGCAGTAGGGAGGTTCTGGGTACAGTGAGGGCCCCTCACCAGCCTGGGAAGTGTTGGCCAGTCAGGGAACCTGTCTTTAGATAAAGGACATTCTTCACTTCCTTCTCAGGTGTGCAGGTGATGTTCAGATGGAGGGGAAAGGACCAAATGACTTGGATTATTCTTAAAATCTGGTTGTTTCAGTTTCCTCCAGCCTGACTTTGGGCCACGGGGCCAAGATAGGCCTGGATTGTTGTGTCCTGTTAGATTAGACTCTGTGAATCAAAAGGACCTACTTTTCTTCCCTGTCTTGCATCCCCACAATCCCATAGCCAATGTGGGCTTTTCCCACCTTTGCATTCTGTTGCTATTCAACTGCCTGCCGAACAGTGCCTGGTCCTTCCTTGTGGAAAAAGAAACCTCGCAAGGCAGTTTCCAGCCCTCTGTATGCACAGGATTTAAGACTGATTCCAAAAGCCAGCTGTTTTTAAGCACAGATAAGGAGGTTCTTTTGTTCCTGACTCAGTATCAAAGGAAGGCTCCTAAAAAAAAAAAGTGAATCTTCAAAAAGAAAGATTGTCTGAAATTACCTAGTGTTATGAGGCACCGCCAGCTGTAATTTCTTTCTTTCTTCTCCCCACAGACTTTCAGAAACCTTTGGTATCCTACATCGGATTAAAGGGTCTTTACTTCACAGGGTATTTGCTCTTTGGCCTGGGAACAGGATTTATTGGGCTCTTCCCGAATGTCTACTCCACCCTGGCTCTGTGTACCATGTTTGGTGTGATGTCCAGCACTCTGTACACTGTGCCCTTTAACCTCATTGCCAAGTACCACCGCGAGGAGCAGGAGAAGGTGTGTCATTGAACCTCACCCCAAAGGCAGAGGGGGGGATGGGGTAAGAAAATGCAGGGCAGAGCTAGAAAATAAGGATCTTGAAGCAGCAGCTTCACTGTCCTCTTTCCTCTGCAGCTCTGTGCACCTGGAGGGCAGTAGAGAGATACTGTTACCCTGTTATCTGATGGGGGGGGGGGGAAGGGGGCTCAGGAATGCTGAGAAAGCAGCCCAAGTCACACAGCAAGAAAAGAAAGGGGAGCCTGGGGATTCTGACAACTGTCCCAATGTCCAGTTCACCTGCAGCTTTCCTGGGGCCCCCACCCCCAGTGGCTGCAAAGGTGGAATTTCTGGGAATTATTGGTTAAGGGTAGGAGATTCCTAACCCACATTTCCCTTGGAGGCCAGGCTTTAGCAAGTCAGACTCTGTGGGCAGGGAGGAAAGCTGAGGTTGCAGGTGGTCACCTACCAGCTGCCTCCAGGGAGGCCTGCCCCCATCTCTGTCTTGGAGATTAGTCAGGAGGGCAAGGCACCAAACTGCCCCCAAAGAACGGTAGGTTGGGTATTTCTGCTCCAAGATCAGCAGCTCTTCTTTTCAAAAGATGTAACTTTTTCTCTATGAAAATAGGTATAACATTTCCTTACTTGGCGTAGAGATAAAAATGCTAAAGAGATAACTTTAAGCTCACTCTGCCATAGTGTGAAGCTGAAAGACACTGAACACATGTCTGTGGTTGCAGTGCTGGCCCGCTTCTCTATCATTTGACCTGGCCAGTGCCACAGGGTGGAGTTGCAGAGGAGTTAAAAGCTTCCAAACAAGAGTCTGTGGCTGTTCTCGCCCCTGATGAACGCTGTCACTAATGTTTCCGTGTGTGCAAGGGTTTTGCTGTTAGAGATAGTTACCGTGAAGAACACTCCCTCCTGGGAGAAGGTTAGGTGGTATGAGGGCAAAAACACATAAGCTTTCGATTCAGAGAAACCTGGATTCAAATCCTGCTGCCCCTACTTTGCAGTTGTGTGACACTGGGGACGTTATTCATTTATTTATTAAACATCAGTTAAAATGAGTTCATTTTTAGATAAGGTTATATGTTCACATGGTTCAACAACCACAGCGATATATACATATGGCTCCACCTACCCGTTTTCTATGTCCCTCCGGGGCCTACGTATAAGCACTTAAGAGGTTTTTGTTTATCTTTCCAGCATTTTAAAATGAAAATCAAGTATGAATCTGTTTTCTTATTTTCCTTCTTGTGTTCAAAGTATAATGTGCATTTTTCTGCACAATGCTTTTTTTGTGCTTTAATTGTATAGGAATTATCACTCAAACTGTCAGAGCCTGAGCTTCCTAATCAAGCAAATGGGAATAATATGCCCACCTTATGGTGATTGGAAAATGGAATAAAACAAGGTAGTACAGGTGGCCTGCCTAGCATGCTGCCCACCTAGCACCTGGCAGAGACTCAAAAAATGGTAATTAGTATTGCTGTTGTCCTATGGGCATGGTAGTGTGTGCGTCCAGGGAGGAGGAGAGGACAAAGAAAAGTGACACAACCAGAGAATCTTGCATAAGGCTAAGGCCTAGCACGCACAAGACACCAGATAAATGGCAACATTATCAACCAGTTCATACCAAGCACATTCTGAAAGGCTGAATTGCTTTTTTTATATTGCTTCTCCTATGTAGATCTGTGCTTCAACACCCTTCTTAATCACTGAACTTTTAACTCTACTGAAGGAAAGAAATGGGATATTTATTGAGTTTCTATTATATTATACCTACTGACTTCTTAGGAAGAGGTATTTTGCATATATTAATCATGTAACCTTCCCAGGCATTCACAGGGGTGTGTGAGACTTTGTGGCAGGTAGGAAAAGCAGCCTCATGCAGTTTCTTGGTGACTGTAAAGCAAGGACTGGGCAAACTACATCTCATGGGCCAAATGTGGCCCGCCACCTGCTTTTGTACGGCTGGTGAGCTAAGAATTCTCTTAAAATTTTTAAATGCTGTGTTACAAGAAAATCAATAGAAAGGTAACATTTGTGACAAGTGAAAATGATATGAAATCCAAATACCAATGACCATTAGGTCATATTGGAACACTGACTCGTTTATCCACTGCCGCCGCTTTTACACCACAATGGTAGCGTTGTGTGGTTGCAACCAAGACCATGAAAGGATTTCCTACCTGGGTCTTCACAGAAAAAGTATGCCAGCTTTTGCCCCAATGGACTGTTCATGTAGATTAAATGTCTTCCTGTGTTTCCCTTGCAGAGACAGCAGGCCCGAGGAGGGAGCCTGGACAGCGGTGAGAGAGGGCAGGGCCTGGACTGCGCAGTCCTCACCTGCATGGTGCAGCTGGCTCAGATCCTGGTTGGAGGTGGCCTGGGCTTTCTGGTCAACAAGGCCGGGAGCGTCATCGTGGTCATCACGGCCTCTGCGCTGGCGCTGATCGGCTGCTGTTTTGTGGCTCTCTTTGTTAGATATGTGGATTAGGTCAATAAAGAGACACTGTCCCTACTCTCAGACACAGGGAAGTACATGGCAGGAGATCAGTCTCTTCTTTTGGCTCTGGAGTTTTGGGGTCTGCCCACTGGACACCCTGTGTTGACTTCAGCCTCAACAATCTGCCCACACCTCACTCCTCTGCACAACAGTTTGCTGCTGTCAGGCATCGCTTATCTTAGGAGAGGCTGGGCTCTGCCTCCATTCAGTGGGGCAAAGGCTGAGTGTGGGAGAGAGCACCTACCTCTCCGGGTATTTCCAGCCTTGAGAGAACTCGAGAAGCAGACTGGTTGTCCACATGACAACTGGGTTTTTTCTATCATGTGTTTTCTTTTTCTTAATCAGAGGTCCGTATTTTGTTGGAGGGTCATGTTTTTCACTAATTCACCAATACTCAAAATATTACTGATGATTTATTTTATGATATTAATTTACTGGTATTTAATTCATATTTGATTTCCTCATATAGACAGTCCCTGACTTAACAACAACAGTTCGACTTACCAATTTTTTTTTTTTTTTACTTTATGACATTTGGAAAGCAATGCACATTCAGTAGAAACCCATACGTCAAATTTTGAATTTTGATCTTTCCTAGATGGTATGTGGTATGATCCTTTCTCGTGATGCTAGGCAGTGGCAGCCACAGCTCCCTGTCAGCCTCACAATCATAAAGGTGGACAACCGGTACATTGATGACCATTCTGTCCCCATACAGCTGTGTTGTCTTTTTCATGTTCAGTATAGTATTCAATAAAGTACATGAGATAGTCAACACTCAAAACCACTCTATCTTCCCCAGTCTTCCTTCCTCCCTCTCCGTCACATTATCTGTCCTAGAGCTGCAAGGTCATGACTGAGTTAGGGGAACCATCAGGGACACCACCTGGTCCCTTCCCCATAAGTGTGGGATAATGATGAGCAAATGCTCAGAGGACCCCATGTGACTCAATACCCTGCACTATAAAAGAAATGGTACTGAGCCACCTCACTTGCTTTACCCTGACCTCTGTAAGGTTTAAAAATGGAATTATTTGCAGAGTTCAATGTTTATTTCCTGATCATTTCTCCAAAGACTGTTCTGGTGATTGAAGATTTTGAAATCAGTGAATCAGGTGAGCTAGGAGGGTGACCTGCAGCTGAGGACCATCTTACCTGGACCCCAAGAAGTTAAAACTAGTCATCTCTGGCCAACCACAGGGCATGGTCTTTATTACAAGTGAAGCTCTTTTCAGCAGGAGCACTGGGTGGGGCGGCTGGTATGAAGGTAGGAGCGAGAGCATGCATCCACCACCACCCCCATCCTCCTTATATACACACTCACACACACTCAAATATTCAAATAAACACTCTGTTCTTTTAACTCAACTTTACTGAGGTTTGAATGAGTGGATAGAAGCCAACTTCAAAAGCCTTTAACCACCTTTGAGAACTCAATATACTGAGTATACTTGTTATCAGTATACCTATGATATGTTTCCTCTCTGGGACAAAAATGTTCCATTCCCAGACAAATAAAACAAATACAGGGACACCTAAATTATGAACAGAAATCCCAGGAAATTCTGTGAAAGAAAAGGAAGCCAAACCGCTTTGCTTCCTTCTTCCCCAACCATGCAGCTGACATTCCAATCTCCAACCTTTAGTCACTGCTTTTCCTCTGCTTCAGATGTCCTCTCTATGGCCCTATGTGAGGGCCCTGCCTGTTTAAATTGCCATTCCTGCCCATCGACATTGTACCCATATTTTAGGTCCATCTCAAATACTACTTTGATGAGGAAGTCTCTGACTCCCCAGCAGAGCCAAGTTTTCCATCCCCTATATTCCGATAGCCCTTTCTTTTAGCCCTTACTATGACTTTCAACTCCTTGTTCCGTGGCTTATTGACCTCGTGTGCATGGCTGTGTCTCCTTTTAAATGTAAAAGTAATGTATCTAGTTGATATATGTCAGCTCAGCACCCAGTACAGGGCTTGGCACACAACTGGCATCCAAAAAATAAAATACATTTGGGCCATTTCCTAGTTTATTTTTTTCTCTTTGTAGTAGACAGAAGTCATAGTCTTTGCTCCCCCCAGCCAGCTTCTCAGAAGCCCTCAGGTGCAGAGGGGACCAGTTTGTTCTTTTTGCAGTGTTCTTTCATGAAGGCCGTGTCCCTAGCCCCTCCTGTGTTTCTGTTACCCATCACAGCAGAAGCACACAATTCAACATACTTTCCTAAAAACCCCAAGCACAGAATTTTATTGTCAAAATTGAAATGGCAAGGTCCTTTAAGAAAGAGAGTCTCTCAATATGAGTCTAATATCAGCATCATACATGGATACACTACCATGCTACCACTGTTTGTTCTTTCTGGGTGTTCATGTGCATGTTTATTTTGTTTGGGGGGACTTGGAGGGGCTTGCGGTTCAATTTTTGTTAGCCCAATTGCTACTCAATATCAGTATCAATAATTTTTCTTCCTAGAGGGCAAAGAAAGACTAATTTGACTACTTTATTTATTTTTTAAAGTAAACTCTACACCCAAGGTGAGGCTTGAACTTAGGTCCCAGAGATCAAAAGTCACATGCTCTACTGACTGAGCCAGCTGGGGGTCCTGAATTTGACTACTTTAAAAGGAAAGCATTATTCTGTTTCTAAAAGAGCTAACTTCTCAAGACTGCTCAGGACTGAGATCAGGAAGCTTTTGTTTTTGCGGCAAAGGTATGAATGCGTAGTAATTGCGCTGTGTTGTGTCACAGAAAGCAGGATAAGGGATGCTAGGGCTGTGAATGGCCACACTGATCCTTAAATCTCAGACAATACAGAACATTTCCAACAAAATTACAAAAATATTTACAGTTTGAGATGCTAAACAGACATGTTTGTATAATGATTATTTATTATATTAAAATAATCACACCAGTAGATGCCCACCTTGCTGGGTTTTTGTTGTTGTTTTTATCCCAAACTAGATCACCAAAGAGAAGAGTAGCACCTCTGTCAAAACTGGCAGTCGGATGGGTAAACTGATGTTTGAACCCCGTTCTCTAAGTAGCCTCAAGAAAGGACTCGATTGCTGTGACCAGAACAGAATCGTCCTAAGAAACGTGTCACTCTTCAGAGATGGCTCCCTGCATTGCCTGGGCACTAAGGAGGAATTCGTAATAGACGCTCACTGTGCAGGGCCCTGGTTGGAATAGGTGGAACTTGGTTAAGGTCGCGTCCCATGGAAATTCTTACTCCCCGCCTTGCCTCCTTCATCTTGTGAGAATGAGAGCGCCTCACACCAGAAATGCTGGCGATCCCTCGAGCAGGCTCCCTGTGCTCTCTTCCCTTTAGGACAGATCTTCCTGGAGCCTTCCATTCCCTGTCCCGTCTCCTACCTCCTGTGAAATTTGCTTCTAGGAGTCTGGTTTCCAGGAGCGCCTCCACCCGCCACCCCTGCACATTCCTACAGCGTCTCTTAGCTTTCCGTCTAAGCCTACGAAACCCTGGCACAGCCATCCCTTTGCTGGTTGGTCCAGAGCCTCTATCAAATGGACATCCGGATATTCGAAGAGTGGGGGCCAGTGGGGGGGGGCACGGGTGTGTGTGGCTGCAGAACAGCTCCCACTCCCAGGTCGACTCAGACCTTTTCAAGTTGCTCCGGGGCCCAGCTCACCTGCAGCGCGCAGACTGGAGCGCAGCCTTTGGGGGCACCCAGTCGCCTCGGGGAGCGGGGACGGCCCGGCCTCTGCTCAGTCACCGACGGGGCACGTCAGCTGCCCTTTCCCCTTTAGCGGCCGGGGCCTGCGGAGGTCTCGGTTCAGTCCCCCGCTCGCCGCAGCCGCTCCCTCCCGCAGCGACGTGATGGCCAGCGCGGCCTGGAGACCAGCATTCTGCCTCGGGGGACACCGGAGCCCGGGGTCCCGCGTGCACACTCTCGCGTGCGGTGCGATAAACGGCAGGTGGCCCCGTGGGAGGTGCCTCTCGCGGTGCCTCTCTGGCGGGCGGGGCAAGGTCGTCACCTCTTTCTTCCAGCTCCGGGGAAGTTTCCGAACCAGGTCCCCGCGCGGCCACGCAGCGCGGCCTCCCGCGCCAGGGCGCAAAGGGAGGGTCCGCAGGCGCCCCCCGCCCAGCTGGATGCGCTTGGAGGACTCGCTCAGGAGCTCCAGAGACGTCTGCAATACACGCACCCAACTGTCCGCGCACCGTTTGACTGAGCCCCGCTTCCTCGCGCCCCTGTTTCCCTACATTTCGGATTCTTTTCTCCGCTTCTGGGCACCCCGACCCTGCCCAGGGTTGACAGCTTAGGGAGAGGAACAGGTGGGGCGGGGGTGGGGGGAGAAGGGGACGCAGGCTGGTGGCTTGGTCCTGGGGCGCTGATCTGGGCCCCTTTGCCAGCGGCCTCCCTCCACCTGGTTGGGCACCCCGCACCCCGGCCGCCCCTCCCCGCCTCTTGCCAGGCTGCCCTTTGGCCTTTCCCGGTCCTCGTCCCTCCCACCGCCCGGGTGGGCCCCAGCACCTCCTAATCCGCTCTCCCCCTCCCACCTCCGGGCAGGCCCCTGGGCTCCGACTGCGCGCCCCGGACCCGAGTCAGTAGGCGCAGCTGCTGGGCAGCAGGTCATAGCGCCCCCCGCTGTAGACCACCACGCCAGGCGGGTAGTAGACCAGGTCGGGCTCCGCGGGGTGGAGAGGCGCCAGGGCCTGCAGCCCCTGATCCTCCGGCTCGGGCTTGGTGGTGGCCGTGAACCGGCGCATGCTGGGGAGCGACGGCGACGCGAGGCGCCAGAGCAGACTCTTGAGCGCTTGGCGGAACTCGCGGCGCGCCAGGCAGTAGAGGACGGGGTTGAGGCAGCTGTTGGAGTGCGCCAGGCACACGCTCACCGGGAACGCGTACACCTGGCACAGGAAGAACTCTTGGCTGAAGGGCACCGCGTTGAACTTGATGAGGAGGCTCCAGGTGGTGAGCGCCTGGTTGGGCAGCCAACACAGGAAGAAGGAGAGGACCACGAGGGTCACTGACCTAGTGACCTTGGACCGTCTGCGGGCGCTGGCTGCGGCCAGGCCGCCCCCCGCCGCCGGGGCCCCTCCTTCGGCCCCAGCCACGCGGCGGGCGGAGACGAGGCGCAGCAGCAGCAGGTAGCACAGGCTGATGGTGAACAGCGGAAGCACGAAGCCCAGCAGCACCTTCTGCAGGTGGTAGAGGCCCAGCCACACCTGTCTGTCCCCGCCCAGCAGCCTGTCGGGGAAGCGCACCAGGCACAGCTCGTCGCCCATCACCCTGACGGTGGTGGAGAAGGCGGCGTTGGGCAGCGAGGCCAGCGCGGCGCACGCCCAGAGCAGCGCGCACAGCGCTTTGGCCGAGAAGCCGCAGCCGTGCCCCAGGCTCGGGCCGCAGCAGCAGGCGCCCCGGCCGTGCCCTCGGGGCCCGCGGCTCTTGAGAGCCGAGGCCACCGAGTGGTAGCGCGCCACGCTCATGGAGGTGAGGAAGAAGACGCTGGCGTACATGTTCATGGACGTCACCACCGACACGATCTTACACATGGCCTTGCCGAAGGGCCATCTGAAGTCGAGAGCGTTTTCTACGGCCCAGAAGGGCAGAGTGAGCACGAACTGGAAGTCCGTCAGCGCCAGGTTGGTGACAAAGAGGTTGATGGAGGACTTGCGCCACCCCTGCTGCCTCTTCATTAGGTAGAGCACCAGCAGGTTGCCCGTCAGCCCCAGGGCGCAGACCACCCAGTACACGGCGCTGATGAGCATCCGCACTCGGGCCTCGGTGTCCGCGCTGCCGGCCCCGCCGGGGCCCCGCGGAGGCCCGGGCGCCGCGCCGTCGGGCAGCTCCAGCCCCAGCTCCCAGCCCTGGTCCTGGAGCCGCAGCGACGCGTTGCCGCTGCTGTTGGCCGCCTGTAGAAGGTACGGGATCAGACTGGAGGGTCCCGCGAGCTCCTTTCCGCCAGCCTCCTTATTCATGGTGACTGCATTCATCGTGGCTGCAGCGCCCCCCTGCAAGCGCAGGTGCCTCTGGGGCGCTGGGGGGGGGCGGGGAGGGGCGTCAAGGCCAAAGCGAGTCCCACGCGCGGGGCGCTCCGTCCGGTGGAGGGCGCAAGGCGTGGGGGGGCGGGGGTGGGGGTGGGGGTGGGGGTTGGCTCCTGAGGTTGGGCGTCAAACGCTTCCCCCGCACCGGGTGCACGGCCTTGGGTGCAGGAGCTGCGCTCGGCGTCTGTTCTGGAGGGGAATTCTAGAGCTGAGCCGCGTGACTCCGAAGGCGAGCCGCGGGCGCCCGAGGGTTCTCTGCCCAAGGTCGGAGTCTCCGAGTCCTTGCGGGACGGGTCGCCTGTTGCGCCCCGGCCCACACCCGCCCTGCCGCTCGGGACCCCTCCTGGGGGGCTCGCTCCTGAGCTCTCAAATACCTTCGTCGGTTCCGCTGCTGCTGCTGCTGCTGCTGCTTGGACAAGGTTTCCGTCCTTTAAGAGGAAGAGGAGCTGGGAGAGTTCCGTCTCCCTCGCTCCGAGCCTCTGGAGGTCTCCCGCTGTGGACCTCGCTGCTCCCGCCCCCCCCCCCCCCCCGCAGTCGCCGGCGGGGCCCCGGGAGTTCCAGTCGCTCCCGCTAAGCTGAGGCTGCGGGCTCCCAGGGAGCATGCGTAGCCCCGCGCGGAGGGGGGGCCGAGGGGGCGCTTTCCGAGGTGCTGAACTTGCCACGCCCGCGTCCGCGAGGAGGAAGCCGCGGGCTGCGCGCAGAGCCCCCCAGCCTGCTCCTCCCCTTCCCCACTTCAAAGTTTCAGAAGGAGATGGTGGTGACCTTTTATTTTCCCGTGTTGCTGGAGAAAGCCGGCTTCGAGTTGCGATCTTTCTTATTCCCAAACATAACTACAGGCATTAGAAGCTGTTTCTTTCTTCCTTACTCCCACTTTATCTTTGAAATGATCCCGTGTGATGAAAGGGGGTTCTAAAACTTCACGATCTCTTGCCCATTTTTATTTTTGAAAACAATGATAGTGGCCTCTTTTCATGGCTAGACTGTAAGTCAGATGACGTGTTTTTACCGAATACACAAGTTCCACTTCTCCTTTAATTACTTAACTTTATTTTCTTAAAGATTTTATTTTTTAATTCATGATAGACACACACACACACACAGAGAGAGAGAGAGAGAGAGAGAGAGAGAGAGAGAGAGAGGCAGAGACACAGGCAGAGGGAGAAGCAGGCTCCATGCAGGGAGCCTGATGTTGGACTCGATCCCGGGACTCCAGGATCCCGCCCTGGGCCGAAGGCGGGCGCCCCGCTGAGCCACCCAGGGATCCCCAAGTACTTAACTTTACTTGGTGTCTATGATTGTCAGGATTTTCAAAGCATCCTCGTATAGCAAAATTCTTGATTCCAGTGTTGCCCTCTGCCTTTGGTATATTCTGAGAACTGAAACTAAGCAGAGAATGTATAACTGGTGAGCTGATTTCACAGACGCTAGTTACCACCTGTCCAGCTGTCAGCCCAAAGCTCTCCCACAAATTGGTCCCTCACATACTCTTTGCCTTGATGCAGTTGAAATCCCTTAAATTTTTTTTTACTTATTTATTCATGAGACACACACACACACACACACAGAGGCAGAGACATAGGCAGAGGGAGAAGCAGGCTCTCTCTGGGAAGCGGGATGCGGGACTCATCCTGGACCTTCGGATTAGGCCCTGAGCCAAAGGCAGACGCTCAACCGCTGAGCCACCCAGGCGTCCCACAGTTGAAATCCTTATAGAGGATTCCGTGAGGCTGTTTTTGGACCACCATCTCCTATTATGATCGGAACTCTTTAGCAGGTGTTTTTTAGACCAATGGAAGCAAATGCTAAGGAATCTTCTCAGTTACTTTGGACGAGGGGAGCCGGTGTAAACTATTTGAATGACTTCTCAAATTGCAGTTTATTTAAATGCCAGTGCAACTGCTCTAGTGTAAATTGCACTTCTTAGAGTGGACTTAAGAAATTTGAAATATTTTCCTCAACGAAACCGAGACAAATGTATCTTAAGAATAGCTGTCCTCTCTCCTGCAGAGTCCCCAGCTTAGGAGATGAAGCAGATGTGACTTTAAAGCAGAGGAGGTAGTAAAATACTTAGTTAAAAAAGAAATGTGGTACCCAAAACATATGAAGGGAAACTGAAACAGTCTGGATTCCAAAGCAAGAACCGGGTTCCAAGCAGAGAACATGCTTCGCTGCGGACTCTGGACATCTCCGCTTGCCCGCTAGAGGGCGACGGGGCTTTAGTAAAGAACAACCCAAAAGCAAACCGCCTTTGAACCGTTCTAATCTGGAGAAGCTCAGCCCTGTTCTGATTATTGCTCCCAATCCACAGGTTGCCTCTATGGACACCTCTTATCTCCGTTTTAGTAGTCTCACCTTCAAGTTCACTTTTCATTTCATGTTTTACCAGTTCTTTCTCCATCTAATTTTTAGCTCTCCTTTATTAAAAAAAAAAAAAGTAAACATAATTCAAGGTGTTGTTGAAAAACAAGGAAGACTAGAGCATACCCTGACAGCCCTCTGCCTCTATTTTCACACCTGTATATTGAAGGAATTATAGTTTTCAAGTATTCTGAGGATAAGTACAAAGCAGGTGACATCAAAGTCAGGTGGGGAGCTTGCTAAAAATATAAATTGCCACTCTCCTCCCAGACCCACACTGGTCCAGAGATTCTGATTCTCAGTGGATTTGGAAAAGGGCCCAAGATCACATTTTAAAAGCATTTTTCCAGATGATACTACTTTTATCCCAAGTTTGGGAACATCTGGACTTTTATTCCTTTTCTAACTTTCCATGTTAAAAAAATTAGGTCCCCGAAAGTAATTAATGTCCAATGATGGTTTATCACACACCAGGATTGGAAGCAAAGGAAGACAAGGAAATCTTAGTAAGTTTTCCTAATACCACGTTTGGTCCCAACAATGGCATATTCTTCATTGTGGACTGGGAGGGCCAAGTGTTCCTGAGGTACTCCAGACCTTGAATACTAGCCAGCACTACTCAGATTGAGCCCTTAGGAGAGCCTGTTCCCAAGTACTACTCTCTGAGAATGCGGCCAGAATGTTTCTGAGCCTAGAATGTGCTTCATTTCCAAATCTGCTCGCTGAAAATGAACCAAAGATCATGTTCAGGAATTTATAGTATTGCTTAACTAAACCTTTGTCATGGAAGCAAAAATCCCCTTTCAAATATGAAATGAACTTTTCCAATATGAACTTGAGATATTTTAGACCACTTATCTTAAAAGCATGGGCCGTGCTTTTCTCAAACCTCATCTAAAAAATTGGAGGAGAGAAACATATTAGTTGTGGTTGAGTATCATTTAGTATACAAGATCATAATCTAAATAATGTACTATATAACCAACAGGTAACTAAAGGCTATTTGGACACCATATTATATTCTTAGGGTTGCTGTAACAAATTACAACAAAATGGGTGGTTTAAAATGACAGAAATTTATTATCTCAAAGTCCTCTAGATTAGAAGTCAGAAATCAAGGTGTTGGCAGAGTTGGTTCCTTGGAGACTCTGAGGAAGAAAACATCCCATGTCTCTCTCTTAACTTCTGGTGGGTGTATGTTGATTTCTTGGTTCATAATTGCGTTACTGTCATCTCTGTCTTTGTCCTCAGGTGGCATTCTCCTTTCTGTGTATATCTTTGTGTCTCTGTTTTCTCTCTACAAGGACACTAGTCATAGAATTAGGGTCCACTCTAATCCCATATGACCCCACCCTAACTAATTACATCTGCAAAGAATGTACATTTCCATTTCCAAACAAGTTCACATTCACAGGTACTAGGGATTAGGACTTGAACATATCTTTTTAGGGGACACAGTTCTACCCACTACAGGTAACAACTGTGTGCATTGTGCAAAGGGTTTTATCTGTATTTTCTCACCTAATACTCAGACTCAGTGAGGTTGATATTACTATCATCCCAGATCTGATATCCAGTCTTTTATGCTCAGAAATCCAGAGTTGCATGTCCAACTGTTAGCTGGCACTTCTACATGGCTGGTGATTTCCTTCAGATTTCTCAGTGTTAGTCAATGGCATTACTACTCACATAACTGTTAGGACTAAAAACCCAAGAGGAAAAAAAAAACCCAAGAGGAACTCCTTCTCTCTCATTTCCCCTTTATATCACTTTAACTCAGTCTAGAAGTTCTTATTAGCATGTTCTCAAGAATAAAAACAAAAACAAAACCCCCAAGTTCCTGAATCTATCTACTTCTTTCTATTTTACATTTTTCTCTATGTTAGTCATCTCTTGCTAAATAATAACATGTTAAAACTTTAGGGCTTAAAAAAACAAACATCTCACCGTTTGTGTAGGTCAGGAATCCAGGTGCAGCATAAGGTCATCATTGGCTCAGGGTCTAACATCAAACTATCAGCTGGGGCTGCAGGTTTATTTAATAGATTTAGTGGTAGGGAGGGGTATTTTGCCTTTAAGTTCATTCACAAGGTTCTTGATCTTTCACTCTGTGAGATTCTCCATAGAGCTGCTTTACAATGTGGCAGCTGTTTTCCAGCAGGATGAATGATGAGAGAGAGAGAGAGAGAGAGAGAGAGAGGAATTGGCATGAAAGCTATAGTGTTTTTATAATCTGGTAAAAGAAGTGATGCTTCCACCACTTCTTCCTTATTCTATTCTTTAGAGGCCAGTCTTCCTTATTCTATTCTTTAAAGACCAATCAATAAGTCCAGTCCACACTCAAGAAGAGGGGAATTATACAGGAATATGATTACTAGGAGGCAGACATCATTGGGATCATCTTGAAAGCTAACTACCACAGTAGGGCAGGTTGTCACAATACTCAGCAGGAAACAGGAGCTGAAGGCCACTTGATTGAGTAGTTATCTCAACAGCCACACAGTGCGGGGACAATAAAGACTGAAGTTCAAGTCTGGTTAATTGCAGGGGAGTAAGTAAGTAGTCTAGGCTTTCAGTCCAAACCCCAAAAGATGCACATCCTAAGGGTAAGTTCTCCACTCTATTCTCAACAACAATAAAATACGCACTTTCTTCAAATACACATAGAATAATCACCAAGACAGGCCACTTGCTGGGCCAAAATCAAGTTTCAACACATTTCAAAGGATTGGAATCATATAGAACATGCATTTTGAGCACAGTGGAATTAAACTAGATATCAACAAAGGAATGATTACTATGAGTCCTCAAATGTTTCAAAACTAAGCCATACATTTTAAACAACTTCGATTAAAGAACTAAAATATAAAGTGTTATAAAATAAATTATAAAATATTTAAAGTAAATAACAATAAAATATGGCATCACATTTTGTGAGATGCGATCCAAACAGTGCTTAGAGGGAAATTTATAGCTATAAGTGCATATTTTTAAAAAGAAAAGAGCTTAAACATCTTGATCTAAGCTTCCAACTCAAAATCCTAGAGGAAGACAAACACTTTAATTCCAAAGAAAGAAGCAGCATGGGAATATTAAAAATAAGAGTAGAAATATGTGGACAGCCCCTACTATGTCAGGGATCAACCTTCTAGTTGTTGACTCACAGAGAGTGGGTGGAGGAGGTCTCAAGAAAAGACCAGAGCAGCCCAACGTGGGGTTACTTAGGAGGCTTTCAGCATATCCACAAAGGAGAATATTTGTTTCTGAGGGCAAAGGGAGGAATGAATAGTCTAATACTAAAACCAGAATCTATTTCCCAACTCCAGGTGGGAGTTGGGAGGGGAAGCCAACTCTAACGGAGAGGTGTGTCCATGGGTCTCAAAGCATACCATTCCCAGATCATTCCCCACTGTCTCCCAGCTACCCATCCTTGGATCAAATATCTACTTATCATTTTTATCTTTGAGGGAAATGCAGTAATAAATAACATAGTCCTTGTACCTACAGTTTGTAATCAAGTGGAAAATTAATCATAAGGAATCATGAGATTTATTAGCTTGAATTTCACTGCAGGAAATTCAGCTTGGCTGCCTGCTTTCTAATTCACCACTTGATAACCTCAGTTCTTCCTATGAGTCTTTCACAGATTTCTCTCTGCCTTACATACGAATTCATGTTTTCAATAAACATATCCTGTGTATCCAATTTTCTCACATTGGGTTTCAAAGACCCCATCAATCTATCTATCCATAGAGGGCCTCTCACCTTCAAAAGATGAATCACAACATCTTAATCAGATCACAGCCACTGCTTTACTGCAAGAAGCAGTGACTGAATCAATATAGCCCTTTGCTCTTGGAGACCTCTCAGGAGACTGGGTACAGACTTCAGAGCAAAACAAACAATCCACTAAAAGTGCAAGTCACTGTTTATTGCCACATTCACAGGGGCTGTGAAGCAACAGAATAGGCCTTCTTGTTGCCAAGGAGGTGATCCTGACAGGCACCATTTGGAGAGTGTGGTCAAGGTCGAGAAAGGTGTTCACAGAAGCATCTAGCCCTCAGCCAGCTGTCCTCTGGGCCTCATGAAAGAGTCTCTGAGAGCACAGAGCTGGCTTTCTGTGCTCTAAAGATCCAAAGTGCCGCAAATATTCATCTTGTGGCTGTAGAGATAACCTACACCTATATCTGGCAGAGTGGACAAGCTATGTTGAAACTCTAACCATAAACAAAACCATAAAGAGAAGCTTTATTTTTATCCAGGGTTAACTTCAAAGCCCGTTTGTTGTTATTTTCATGTGTATCTTTTAAAATCACTTTATCCCAAAGAGAGACTCTACTGTCCATTGAAATGAAATTGTTGGAGGACTTAGAGACCTTGCTTCATAAGTTTCAAGGAAATATCTTTAATAGGGATTCATAGTGTGCATGCTTCTGCCTGATTTTAAGGTAAGTGTTGGTGACCAAGTTTTCTCTCCATCAGTTTTCCAATGGTCAACAGATAAATGAGTGACAAGGTGAATGAACGGACCCATGGTGTTAGATCCCTACAATGGAACTCTCTGCAGAAATAAAAAGGAACAGAGTACTAGGACATAAAATATCCAAATGATTATGCCGAGTGAAAGAAGGCAGACAAAAATTAGTTCATACTGTATGAGTCCACTTGTGTGAAATTCAAGAAATTGCTAATGAATCTCCAGTGACAGTGGGGGAGTGGCTACTTGTGGTTGTGGGGTCATACAAGTAGGGACAGGAGGAGGGGACTGCCACAGAGCAAGAGGAAATTTCCCGTTTGACACATGCACACTAGCACACACATACCACATGTGCACATACACATACATATATGTGGTCAAAACTTACTGCGCTGATGGTTTCACAGGTGTGTAGATACATGCAAACACATAAAATTATATACTTTAAACACACACAGTTTATTGCATGTCAATTGTACTTCAATAAGGCATTAAAAAGGGGGGTACTATTATGGTATATCTTTACTGCTACCTGAACTAATCCCATTTACTCACTCCAAAGTTTCTTGGGGACATGGCTGACCTACTCTTAATGACCTCAGGAGGATATAAAGAAGCAGTGATGAATAAAGACAACATTTTTTATTCTGAATCAGTTAAGAGTAAGTTGTCAACTGGATGCCCCTTCACCTACAAATATTTTCATGTGTATCTCTAACAAACAAGGCAGTCTTCCACATAGCCACAACTCTCAGAATCAGGAAATTCAGTGATCCAATACTAACATCCCATTCTCTGTCTCCTTTCAAGTTTCACTATTTGTTCCAACAATGTCTTTTGTAAGAAAAGGATCTTCAGAATTATGTGTTGCCATTAGGTGTTATCTCTTTGGTCTCCTTCAATCTGGAAAGTTTTCCTTTGACACTCTTGGCCTTTTGAAGTTAAACACACACACACACACACAAAATAACACACACAGTTATTTTGTAGAATGTCCCTCAATTTTGGTTGTCTGATGTTTTCTCATGATTAGATTCAGGCTATGTATCTTGGGCAGATATTTCAGAGTGATGGTGTTCTGACTGGAGCCTATGTGGTAGCACACAGTTTTGATTGTCCACACTACTAATTGGTGTTTTCTTTGTTTACTTGATGAATGGGATATTTGCTATGCTTGTCCACTCTAAAGTACTCTTTTTGCCTTTATATTTAATAAATATTTGGGAGGAGATACATTTTAATGCTACAAAGTTACCAACTCATCAATCTTTCTATTCATTTATCTATTTGTATCAGTATGGATTCATGAATTCTTGTGAATCCATGAATAAAAATAAAAAATAATTTTAAAATGATAAAATTATTTATTACTTTTATATTTTTTTGCTTATATTTTCCTAGGCTTGGCCAGTGGGGGCCTTTTCATCTTAATTCCTCTCTCCTTTTGATTAACTCTCATCTTTCTTTGAGTTTTTTTTTTTTTTAAGCAATAAAATGTTTCAGGTTTATCTTCTATCTCTCAAGCCATAGTTCTGAAGTCAGTTGTTTCTCTAAGGAGTCCTGGTTTGCCTTAGAGGAAAATGGTATTTAGAATCCAAAGATCTAAGTGTCAGATGTGCTCAGTGCTGCTGAGGAGTCATTGCTCTAACACCCTCAAGTTGATAGGCCTATCAACATACATGTATACGAATACTTATGCCTATTTATATCTTTATTTCTATGTGCATCTATACAGTCATCAACAATTTTGGGGTCATACCAATACCTTCAGTTGTGATGCAACATAGGGTTTATTCCACTTTTCTTTTTATTTTTATATACTGGTAGTTCTATTTAACTGGTAATAAGAAATTTGACTCCCTTATCCTTGCTATGTTTACTTATTTGATCTCCCTGAATGTAACCAATCTCCAATTACTGCCATCAGTTGCTACCATCACCCCACCCCTCCTTATGCTGTCAGTATTTCAACACCCTGCTGGGACATTCCCTCTCAGGTGGATGCCCTCTTCATTCGGCTCAGGTTCTGACACCATGCATTGGGCAGCTATCCTACACAGATGACAGAATTGCTGAGGTTCTGACACCTTTCGATAGGCTCTATCCAGTCCCATATCCCTCATCACCACATGACTTGGGTTCCCTCTGGCAGACTTCCTATGTGAATCTCCCCCCACCAACCTGGTAAAATCTTGTTATATTTCATTTTTATTGGCCTTAAGATGCACTACAAACTGAAGTTACATTCAATTTACTGCAATAATTTGATCTGTGTGCTACACGTTTTTTCTGAAGTGTGCTGTTTTCTTTCAGCCAATAGTATGTTTCATTAATCAGGATCCATAGCGTTTTCAGCCATGGCTTTCAAAGGGGCATTACCATGGCATTGTTTATTTAATTAAGTTGATTAATTACAACATCAGAAGAATGGTGCAAAATGTAATCCACTTGATACAAAGCCAAGTAACTTTACAAAATCTGCAACGTATAGATTCCACGATCTGCAGATTGAGCCAGGAAGGCAAACTCTCTGGGGATTGAGGGTACAGAGTGGGCAGTGTTGATTATTGATCCACTTATGCATTGAATACAATTGGATGGAAGAATAAAAATGAACTTACCCTTCTGAGGGTTACAAATATTTATCCCCATCTTCTTTTAAGACGGCAGAGAGATTTTTTGTTTGTTTGTTTGTTTTTTCTTTTTTAGAGACACACACACACAGAGAAGAGCAGAGACACAGGCAGAGGGAGAAGCAGGCTCGGCTCCATGCAGGGAGCCTGACGTGGGACTTGATCCCAGGTCTCCAGGATCATGCCCTGGGCTGAAGGCAGCGCTAAACTGCTGAGCCACCGGGGCTGCCCAAGACTGCAAAGAGGTTTAAAAGAAAATAGTACAGATCTGTCCTATGGTCCAGCAATTGCACCACTAGGTATTTACTCAAGAATACAAAAATGCTAATTCAAAGGGATACATGCACCCCAATGTTTATAGCAGCGTTATGTGTAAGAGCCAAAATATAGAAACAGCCCAAGTGTCCAATGCCTGTTGAGTGGATAAGAAGATGTGGTATACATATACAATGGAATATTACTCAGCCATCAGAAGGAATGAAATCTTGCCATTTGCGATGCCATGGATGGAGCTGGAGAGTATTAGGGTAAGCAAAATAAGTCAGTCAGAGAAAGCCAAGTATCATATGATTTCACTTATATATGGAATTTAAGAAACAAAACAAATGAGCAAAGGGGGAGAGAAAAGAGAGAGAAAGAGAGGCAAACCGAGAAACAGACTCTTTCTTAACTCTAGAGAACAAACTAAGAGTTACCAGAGGAGAGATGGTTGGGGGGATCGGTGAATTAGGTGATGGAGATTAAGGAGGGCACTTGTGATGAGCCCTAGGGGTTGTGTGGAAGTGTTGAACCACTATATTGTATATCCGAAACTAATATTACACTGTATGTTAACTAACTGGAATTTAAATAAAACTTCAGAAAAAAGAAAACAGTATATGTGACAACAATATTTAAACGTACGCTTTTTTAAGACAAGGTTGTTTTGGTTTTAGTGTTGGTTTTGGTGGCAGTCAGTTTCTTTTGCCTTTCCAGTTTTAAAGACAGCTCTGAAAATGCATTAGACTGTCCTTGAATATCAGTTGTCCTTTCTGCTTCTATAGGCTTAGTCAGAATGTATGAGCTTTTTGAAAGCTTTCTTTGCTCAGGGAACAGAGGGAGCTCTTGGTGAGGCACCTTACATCTTTTGTCATAATTTGTATTTTTGTACAGAAAATACATCACCATAGTGAACTAAACCACTACCTGAGATGCTCTGATGAGGTCTGTATGTCAGTATTCTTAGCCTTTCCACTCTTCGTGAATGAGGGCATGACCAGGGGCCTTAATAAGACAAATGTGTATTTGATTCTGCATAGTGGCTTGGCGAAGTCTTTTCCTTTTTCTTCATTCCAGTTTCCCACTGGATAGTGATGTGATCCTAGGCAAGTTGTACAACCTTTCAGTGTTTCCCCATCTATCAACCAAGGACAATAATAGTACCTACCTAAAAGTTTTTTGTGAAGATTAAATAAAGTCATGCACATACAGTGTTTAGCACAGTGCCCATATAAATCAATGCGTAATAATTTTTTTCTGTTTTTAGCTATTATACAATACTTGAATTTTACATGTTTCTGTAGTCTTTCTTCAGTGGTAGTATATTTGGATTAGCCAGGTCAGGGATATTTGGACACTCTGTGGTGATTCACAGCTCTGCCCTCTATAGTGGACATATCAGGAAAGGCAGTTGGCTTATTATTATTATTATTATTATTATTATTACCCACCTTTGTCAACAAGAACGTTTGTTGCCTTTCCCAGTGAGCAGAGGAAAAGTTGAATAGGACTGACTCTCCCCTCTACGCTGAGGAAATACCAGGCTTTGGAGGTATTTTGTAAATTCTGGAAAAAGTAGGAGGAAGTTGGTGTTAGAATAGTAGCAGGATGCATATTTGTATATTCGTGTTGAGTAGTGTTGAAATCTTGCTGAACTTGGAGACGAGAATTGATAGTTGCACTAATAGGTGTAATCAGGTGAGTCTTTTCAACAGCACTTGGAAACAAAAAGCAGAGAAAATCAGCAGTTAGGGTACGACAAGGTTAGAGTTTGATGAGGAAGAGGTGTTGAAGGCACCGGTGAGAGATTATTTAAAGAGATGAATCCTATGTGGTTGGGCAGAAGAGGAAGTAAAGCCAGAGAGATGCTTATAGGTAATGAGACAACCAAAATGGAGAGATCAGGAGACAGGCCTTACTAGGCTGAAGACCCAAGGTACTGGGCACGGAAGTCTGAAGGGGCTGACAATATATAAGGTTTTGGTGGGATTTTATAGTTTTAATATTTCAGACTTGGATGACTCTGGATGACAGGTATTTCTGGTCATGGTCTTGAAAGTAAGAGAGGGAGAGAAAGTAAGGGGAAATCCATTAGAGTTGAAGAGGTTAAGAAACTGAGTCCAGAATGTTCCATGGATCCTTCCTGATCTCCCTGACATTACTGGGACTGAAAAGCTCCCAGAGATTTTTGCCTGAGGGACACAGCTCTCCTCCAGGGCCTGGAAGCCAGGAGTGATCCCACCCTTCAGATGAGACCCTGCTTGCTATTAAAAGGATAAAATGAAGAGGAAGTAGAAGAGGAAGATGAGGAGAAGACTGAGGAGAAGGAAAAGAAAGGAAAAGAAACAAAAGGAGTTCTGGCTCAAAGTGGTATTTAGTGCCTTTGCAATTGCATTTTGCCAGGTCTGCATGTCATTTCACCAGATGTGCCTGTTATATCTGGGTTTCTTTCTCTTTTTCTTTCTCTCTCTCTCTCTCTCTCTCTCTCTTTCTTTCTTTGTTTCTCCTTCTTTCTTCCTTTGTTTCTTCTTTCTTTCTTTCTTTCTTTTTCTTTCTTTCATTCAAGATTTTATGTATTAAGGGAGAGAGAGAGAGAGAGAGAGAGAGAGAGAGAGAGAGAGCGCATAAGCAGGGGGGAACAGCAGGCAGAGGGAGAGGGAAAAGCAGATTCCCAGCTGAGCACGAAACCCAATGGGCTCATCCCAGGACCCTGGGGTCATTACCCAAGCCAAAGGCAGACACTTAACTGACTGAGCCACTCATGTGCCTCATAGCTGAGTTTCTTTTGCACTTAAGTTCTGCTCTTCCTACTTAATATTTACGTCACTGGGGAAGAGGCCCAGAGGACTTCTATGACTGGCCAGTGATGACATAACATGTTCTGTTACACGACACAGGGGATAAAAGTTGCAGATGGAACTAAGGTTGCTAATGGACTGACCTTAGGATAAAGAGATTATTCTGGATGATCTGAGTGGGTCCAGTGGAATCACCAGGGTCCTTAAAAACAGAAAAGGGAGGGAAAAGAGATAGTGTCAGGATGATGCCATATAGGAGACTCGCTGGCCATTGCTGACTTTGAAACCAGGGGTGAGTGGCAAGAGACTGAGGAATGAGGAGAACCCCTTAGAAGGTGAATAAAGCGGGAAAACAACTCTTCCCTCCAGTCTCCAGAAAGGAATGCAGCTGTGCTAACACCTTGATTTGAGTCCAGTGAGACCCATCTCAGACTTTTGACCTCCAGAACTGCATGATCCTTAATTGGTGCTATTTTAAGTCACCAACTTTATGGGAATTTGTAATGCCAATAATAGGAAACGAATTCAGGTCCCTCGAAATATCCTGGCGGGTATGTATCCAGTGTGAAGGATTCATACCCACCCCAAGCCGGTGAGGACCAAGAGGCACTGGGATCCCTGCTTGCCCGGGGCTGCCCAGGCCTGCAGGAGGTTGAGGGATTCGCTTTCCTGCACCTCTCACTGAACACATCTGGTTGGCTGGAAGCCATGGAGGACCAGTATGGGGTCAAATTCCTCCTGAATGGAGTAAGGAGGTCTTTTTCAGCCCAGAGGTGTGAAATCTTGGCTGGTTTATCCAGTAAATTCTCAGGATGCTTTGGCAAGTTCCCTGGTTTGCAGCATTCTCTCCGCAAGGTAAAGCTTGAGCCCAATGGGTGTCCCCCTCCCCGAGCAGCCTGTGCAGGTAAAGTGGAGAAACACCTTCACATGGTCTCAGGCTTCTTTATCTCCCCCAATGTCCTGGTTTCCCTTTGGGTGAGTGCAGGGGGGCCGGGCAAGGCCCTGCTGTAAACGTAGAGAAGCACCTGGGGGACCCGCAGGCTCCGCGTGGGGCCCTAACCATTGGTCTCCTCATCTCTGGGTGCCCGTGAAGGGGGCTGCCCAGGGTGGACCTCGAAGACGAGTGCAGGCCATTTCCGCCCTGCGTGACTCGGCAAAGAGAGAGACTGCCCATCAGTGGGAGCCCCAGCTTGCCTTGGGAGGGAACCCCAAGAGGCCTGGCGCACGGAGGGGTCTGCGCGGCGCAGGGCCAGGCGGGGAGCTGGCAGGGGAGAGGCGGAGGGAGCGGGGTCCCGGGCCCACCTCCGCCTCAGCGCCCGGGGGTGGGGGGCTCACCCCCCTGCGGTCCCGCCCCGGGTGCCTGTCCCGGGCCTCCCCTATTTGGCCGGCTCGGCGGGCTCTGGGCGGGGCCGGCGGCGCGGGGGCGGGAGGCCGCGGGAAGATGCGCGGCCCGGAGGCTCGGCGGCCGCGGGCGGGAGGGTGGGGACCTGGGGTGAGGAGCTGGGCTGGGGACCCGGGCTGGGGACCTGGGCTGGGCGGCCAGTCCACAGCCCGCGGAAAGCAGGCGCTGCCCGCTCAATCAGTCCCCTTTGGGGAGGGAAGGGGGATCGGGGTCCCCAGCCCCTGGCGGCCGCTCCGTCCGCCCCTGGGCCATGTCCCCTGCCTCTCTGCTCGGCCACGGGCGGGGACTTGATCCCTTGAGCTGAGCGCTAGACCGCGTTGACTTTTCTGCCCCCAACAACTGAACCATGCCATGTGCCCGGAGGAGCTGGCTTGCAAGGCTCTCCGTTGTAGCTCAGCTCCTTAACTTTGGGGCCCTTTGCCATGGGAGACAGGCTCAGCCCGGCCCGGTGCACTTCCCGGACAGGAGGCAAGGTTAGTGGCTTTTCTTTATTTCCTTTGAGAACCGTGGCGGAGAGACGCGTGGAAAGTTGGTTGCTTCCCCCCCTCCCCTCCCCCTCCCCCTCCCCCTCGGGCTGAACTCTGCAAGACCGTTCGGCGGAGTCCTAAGGAAATTTGGAGCTCAGTGACATGGGGCGTGGGGCGTCGCAGAGCTCCGTGCTCAAAGTGGCCAGTCCTGAATTCTCCCCCAAAGGCGAGTGTGCCCCGCTCTCTACCCCGTTGCTGCAGCAGAAAGGCCCAAGAGGTGGCTGGTAACGCCTCCCTCCACCCCCTTTTGTCTCCCCTCTCAATGCTGCACTGTTTCAGTCCTCTCTTTTTCAAATTCTGAACAGGGAAAATGATTTTTTTTTTTTTAAAGTTCCATCTGGCCCCTGGCAGTCATTGCAGTGTTTCTAGTTAGTTCCAGCTCTGCACAGGGGAGGGAAAATGTGATTCCGGCCCCCTGCTGAGCCAGTTTGGCTGTGTTTTGGTTTCCTGGAAAGATGTAGGTCTGTGTTTTAAAAATAACAGTTCTTTTTTTTTGGGGGGGGGGGGAAATTACCCCTGTAGGGGCTCACCTTTGCCTGTCCCGGCTTCCCCGTGGCAGCTGGCTGCATCCCCTTGCTAACGTGATGAGAGCTGCAATGCTCTGGAAAACACTGGAGGGGGTGTGCGGACAAGTTGTTATTTAAACCCAACACCTCGAGGGGAACAGCGCTGCTGCCTCTGCTTTTTTTTTTATTTTTTTTATTGGACTTTGAAAGATCAGAGACACTTTTGTGTTTGGTGGGGAGTTCCTTGGCTTCTAGGACAAGACAGAGCGGCAGCAATGGCCCGTGTGGCTGGAGAAACTGTCATGTGCCAAGACCGCTAAGGCTCCCTGTGTCAGCCCAGCACCCAGTGACGACGGCTTTCTGGGGTTGCTGGACCATTGTTACTGTCCCTGTTTTAAAGCTCCGGAAGCTTGGGGAGTTTGGGGCCCAGTTCATGGTGCAGTGAGGTTTTGAACTCAGGTAGCCTGGCTCCGGAGGCTGTCCTCTTAGCAGCAATAAGAACAACACACACACGCACACGCACACAGTCCAGTGTTTGCTGACTATGCTCAGGCCTTGAGAAGCCGCCCCAGTATTCTGACCCCATTAATGCCCAGGGCCACTTGGGTGACAGCTCGCCAGCCTGTGTTTGTAGAGGGTGTCCACACAGGGGGCTGCCTACGTGGCAAAGTTCAAACACTGCTGAGAACTCCTCTGCTGTGACTTCGAGAGCCATCAGAAGCAAGCCCCTTTGCTTTCCTTGGAAGCTGGAGCCCGAAACCAGGGTTAGATGTCAGTCAGCCAGCACTTGCTTGTGTAAACGTTCCAGATACCATCTCCCACCCCCAAGTTTAAAATAGCAGCATTTGTTTTTCTTTGAAATACAGCCTCTTTGTGAAAAGTCTCCCTTCTGGCAGCACAGACAAAGCCTGTGAGCACTTCCCAGGGCATTTGGACATGATTTGCTTCAAAGATACGCATTCTCCTGGGTTGACTTTCAGCTCTCCTTGCTCCCCATCTTCTTTGTAAGTGAATTTAGCCTAGTGTGGAGCAGATACTCCCCGGGCCTTGCTCTCTCCTCTCTGGAAGGTGAGAGATGGTTATTTTTCTTGGTCACCTTTAGGGATTATGTGGTGAAAGTATTTGATTTGATATTGAAAAATAGCTGTATTGGGGCACCTGGGTGGCTCAGTGGTTGAGCATCTGCCTTTAGCTCAGGTTGTGACCTTGGGGTCCCGGGATCAAGTCCGCATCCCGCTCCCCCCACAGGGAGCCTGCTTCTCCCTCTGCCTGTGTCTCTGCCTTTCTCTCTGTGTCTCTCATGAATGAATAAATAAAACCTTAAAAAAAAAAAAAGAAAAATAGCTGCAGAGTGCTCTGAGTTTATTAGCAATGCACAGAAACTTAGGTTTTAAAAATAATTTCCGTTTTTAAAAGTCTTTCTCCAGAGTATTTGTTCTTAATCAGCTCGCCAATGGATTTAAAAGTAATCCACATTTGGTGCAACAGAGACATTTCTGAGCAGGCGTCATTTAGAACCGAGTAGAGAGAGGGAGAACAAATGAGAGGGAGAGAGAGAGAGAGAGAGAGATGGAGAGAAGGGATGAGAAAACTCTAAGCCTCTTGGGACTAGGATGACCTGGGTTTTGCCCCAGTGACCAGTCTATCATTTCACAAAGAACCAATGTCCCTAGATTTCCATTTCTACTCTGACATTTTTGAATCGCACCCAATTTCTGTACATTTAAACTTGCAAATGATTTCAGATATCATCTCTGTCATCCTTCTTATTTTTCCAAGGAGGAATGGGGGGGCCTTAGAAGTGGGTCAGTTAGCATGTATTCAGTGAGCACCTGTTAAGTGCCGCTTCACCCAAGGGGATTGCACAGGGTCCCATGGTTGGAAACATTCTGATCCTAGGTAATCATTAACATTCTTTTTAGTTCTATGGGTTGGGCAGAGGCAGGATTTTAGCCCTGGGAAAGAGCACAGAGGTATATCCAGTCTTTTCAGGGACCAGAAGAGGCAGATTTGACACTCTGCCCGGTATTCTTTCCAGATCACTCACTTGTGACATATAAACGTGCAACGACTTCCACAAGGTTTCTTGGTTCCCAACCAAGTACCAGAACAATGGGGAATACTGGTCTTGCACATAACACACTGCCTCTCTTGTACAGCCAGGGATAGCCCCTTGGGTTCCTTATTCCTTGTGCTGTCTACAAGTCACCGGCTGTTGCTATGATTTCCTTTGCTCCCAGAGACTCTGAAATCAACAGAGCAGACAGTTTGGCCTGTGCTAGAGTTGTGCTTGAGGCTGCACAGGTTTGTGCAGGAACAGGGGAAGTGTTTCAAGGCAAATGGTTCGCGTGGGCTTCAAAATGATGTTGTAATCACCTATCTATGCTATTTGAAAAAAAATAAGGAAGAAATTATTTCATATATCTTCTTTATGTAAGAAGACACTTCACAGTTTTGGTATTTTATTTGTGTTAGTTATCATAAGCCATTATGGTCTGGAGGTCAGTAGTCGTAGGGCTGGTGAGCAAATCCAGCTTCCTGTGGCGTATTTTCCAACTTTGGAGGGATCAACATAATCCTCTATACCTTGCCATGTGTAGTTTGCTATGACAAAAATATACTCGAAAGGTTGCAACATTCCATGGAGAGAATTATGAAAATGAACTTCTGGGCAGCCCAGGTGGCTCAGCAGTTTGAGCGGGTGCCTTTGGCTCAGAGCGTGATCCCAGAGTCCCAGGATCAAGGCCCACGTCGGGCTCCTGCATGGAGCCTGCTTCTCCCTCTGCCTGTGTCTCTGCCTCTCTCTCTCTCTCTGTCTCTGTGTCTCTCATGAATAAATAAATAAAAAATCTTAAAAAAAAAAAGAAAGAAAATGAACTTCTGACTCTTAGAGAATTTCATTGCTCATTTTTAGTAAAGAGTCTTAGAAATTCGTTGAAATACACAGTATAGGGCAGCCCCAGTGGTGCAGCAGTTTAGCGCTGCCTCCAGCCCAGGGCGTGATCCTGGAGACCTGGGATCGAGTCCTGTGTCGGGCTCCCTGCATGGAGCCCGCTTCTCCCTCTGCCTGTGTCTCTGCCTCTCTCTCTCTCTGTGTCTTTATGAATAAATGAATAAAATCTTTAAAAAAAATTAAATGCACAGTATAAAGAGTTAAGTATAGATTTTACCAAAACTATAAAATCTGGCAGATAAATATTCTCTCACTGGTCTCCTTTCTTCGTAAGCAGGTTAAAGATCACTTGGTGGTATGTATTTCTAAAAGCACTTGTGCCAGTAGGCTTCGCACAGAGTTTCGCATGAAGTATCATCAATGCTTGTGACTGAGGGTTTCGAGTCTAATTTTAGGTAAGGTAAAGCGAGGTGCTCAGGGCTGATAATGTATTTCCGTAAAGCTGCAGACTGTGATGTGATTACAGTGTGTCTCAGTTCCAACAACCACAGCCTTGTTGATGCCCCATCTTGACATCTGGTTCTCAGTGGCAGACCCTTGAGAAGCAGCAAGGGCAGCACGGTTAGGGCTCTGGGGTCAGGTCACCCTGGAACGAATCCTCACCCCTCTCCATTGTCTTTTTGCAGTGGTGGGAATGAGGGCTAATGAGATATGAGGGGCTATGTTAGTAATATCTGTCCCAGAGAACCATAAGGATACGGCAAGAGACCAGGTTGGTATACTCCGAATGCTGTGCTTAACTGTAGCAATGGTAAAAATTGAGGTAAAAAAAATGAGGGCTTGTTACTATTTCCTGACATGTTTTTTTCTCCATTCCTGTCATATCCCCTCTGGGCTCTGCTTTCTCCTGGCCAAGGTTATAGCTGCCTCCTCTTCCAAACAAAATACCTACTGAGAGGAAGCCAAGGTGGGCATGGGCTTTTCCCTGTCTCTGCTTGGAGGTTATATCTATTTATGACCACAATGATCCTTGGTGGCCAACTCTCTATCTTTAATACTAATTATAGCCACTGTAAAAAATGTAGCACTGTTCTACATTCATTACATGTATTAATACACCAGCTCCTCATAGCCACCCTATGAGGTAAATACTCATATTTTGATGCCCTTGTATAGACAAGGCAACTAGGGGTAGGCCACCAGTATAAGTCACACTCCTATTTCTATCCACACCTACCGGCTGACATGGCTTAGCTGCTTCATTTACAATAAACTCAAGAAGAAAATCTAGTCTTATCTCTTGTTACTCTACTGGATAAACGGGCCATTGTTATCTATCTCCCTGTACTGCTGAGCATATTGAGGCCTCTTTTTTTTTTTAAGATTTTGTTTATTTATTCATGAGAGACAGAGAGAGAGAGAGAGAGAAGCAACCTCCATGTAGGAAGCCTGATGCAGGACTCGATCCCAGGACTCCAGGATCATGCCCTGGGCCAAAGGCAGGTACTAAACCATTGAGCCACCCAGAGATCCCATATTGAGGCCTCTTAAAGAAGTCAAGCCCTCCTCTTCTTGTCCAATCATATCGCCAGGAGCAGTAGTATCACTTATACTCTACTATTCTGCCCTTCAACTCTCTCCCAAGTGCAACTGCTTATGTACATGAAGTGCAGTGGCTAAGAACATGATTTTGAAAGAGGAAGCATGAGATTTCAGTAATAAGTAATGTTGCGTATTGGCTCTGTGACCCCTCTTAGGCTCAGTTTCTTTATCTATGAACTGGGAATTTACTGAATCTGTGTCACAGATTGTTAAGTACTGAAGGAGAAGAGACTTACGGTACCTGGCTCATAGCAAGTGCTCGTTAAGTGGCTTCTCTGGTTACTATCATTAGATTATTGTATAGCCAACTTATGCTGGCTTTCTTCAAAACGCACGAGATTGAAAGCAACTGGGTCAAGAGCCCTAAATTTGTTTGCTCTTTTATTCTTTGAGGAGTAGGTCCTGGAACCTAGGCAAGCTTTATCTTTCATTTTATATTTTCAAGACTCTTGTTTATTTTTTTTATTTTTTTTTTAATTTATTTATTTATGATAGTCATCAGAGAGAGAGAGAGAGAGAGGCAGAGACATAGGCACGGGGAGAAGCAGGCTCCATGCACCGGGAGCCCGATGTGGGATTCGATCCCGGGTCTCCAGGATCGCGCCCTGGGCCAAAGGCAGGCGCCAAACCGCTGCGCCACCCAGGGATCCCTGCGCCACCCAGGGATCCCCAAGACTCTTGTTTAATTCTTTGAGATGCATCTTCAGAGATAGGCCCAGAGGAGCATTTCCTCTGGGCAGTGACCACACACAGCTGGGCCCACCTCAAGATGATGGCTTATGCACTGTTGAGTTAGACTTTTTCTGCCCCTAATTTCCATCTACTTCTAACCCTGGAGAAGCCAGAGACATCACTGTGAGTAGAAGAAGAAAAGAGAAGCTGAGAAGAATAGAAGGGAAGCCAACTGTATCCACCCTTGTTCCACCCACCCTGGCCTTGCCTCTCCTAAGCTCTGAACCTGGAAGGTCAGTGAAACTCTGATACTAAATATGTCCAGATATTCCATGGAGAGAAGGCAGTATAGAGGACTGAGTCAGTGTGACTCAGTCATGGCACACTAGCATCATTGATTTGTACAAAACCCCTTTATTTTTTTACACATTTTTGTCCCTATTCTCATTCTTCCTCATGGAAAACCATTTTAATGGGTTCCATATGTATTTTTTGTTTGCATATGTTCTGGCCGACTTTGTAGTATTGTTTTTGTGTATTTTCCATTGATGTCAGTGGCTCTGTATTAACTTGTATCTTATTTTTCACTGAATATTGTTTTTAAAGATTTGCCTATGTTGCTATGTGATCTGTTGCTCCTAATGGTTGCAATTAGAAACAATGGTTCTGGATTTTTTTTAAAAAATGTAGATGTAAACATCTAAAATATAGAGACTATTTATTAGTACCTAAGAGTAAAAACTCTGTGCTCTGCCCTGTATTTCATCCAAGGCAGAAATGAACAATTTCCTAAAAATGCTGGAAGGTGGTTGTCTGGGAAAGGAGGCCATTTTATAAATGTACCCCATTAGGTCCAGTTCTTTTAATTAACCAGCTACAAACCTGCTCACTGATACGGCAACACGTTATGAGCCAGACACCTGCGACGTGCAAGATTCTGACCTCCAAAAGTTTAAGGAATAAAGTCTGATGAACAAAAGGCTTTGTAAAATGAGGCTGTTCTGGGAGGTATGGAAAGTAAGGACCTGGGGGTGCAGAGGAGGGAGAGAGGACTTCAACCAAGGACATTAGGAGAAAGAAGAAGGGGGACTAGCATTGGGAACTTCTAAACATAAGTGGGAATAAACAGGATTATCAGTAGAGAGTGCAAAAGACACAGTAGTTGGGGAGTAACATGAACAAAGCAATGTAAAGTGCAAGGAATACATCTGGGAGGCAGCAAGTGGAATTTGTTTTTCTTTCTCTTCCTCGCTTCATCCCTTCCTCCTTTTCTTTTTTTCTTTCCTTTTTTTTCTGTAAAGCAAAATATTATTATTTTTTTAAGATTTTATTTATTTATTCATGAGAGACAGAGAGAGAGAGAGAGAGAGAGAGGGAAGGGGGGCAGAGGGAGAAGCAGGCTTCATGCAGGGAGCCCGACACAGGACTCGATCCCGGGTCTCCAGGATCATGCCCTGGGCTGAAGGCAGCACTAAACTGCTGAGCCACCCAGGGATCCCCAAAAGATTAGTCATTTTTCTAAGTGGCTACTGGTTTGCCTGAAGAAGGCTGTAATCCTGGGTGATGATCAGGCCCTGCCAGTTAGATTCCTCGTTATCCTCAGACATAGGGATGCGGAGGAAGTGCTGGGGATTTAAACACGAGCAAGCCAAAGGTCCGTGTGTTCTCGTGTGTGGAAGGGACAGGTGTTCCCGTCTTGCATTTTCAGAGTGGCTGGTTTCATCTTCCCATTTTTATTTTGTATATTTTGCAAAAACAAAAAGGAACACCCACGTGTCCTTAGGCGCCCTGCCCATGCTATGGAGCACCGATCTGTGGCCGGTGTGGGCCTCTCAGAGTGGACCCCACCGGTGGGCTGCTTCGCATTTTTCTCGAACCCAAGTTAATGGAAAGTTCCTGAGACGCTTAAGCTCCTTACGATACACAGTGAAGCTCTGTGATCTGTATTAACGAACTCAGGACTTGAAACATTCCTCGTGCTGACCTTGCCCCTTCCTAACAGTACGCCTCGTCATTGAATTCTCGGCTTAATTCCTCTCTGCTGAAGCATCTGCCATCGGAGCGCTGCCCCTGGGTCGGCCCAGGCTGCCACGGGTCACCCCGGGGGGGCCCCCCCGAGTCGATTTGAGTTGTTCAGGGAATTTATAGGGACAGTGCTTGTCCAGTGGACAGGACCTGGAAACATCGGGTCATTAGCAGTATTTTGCAATCAACAAGCTAACGTCTAAGTTCCAAATGGCAGAGCGTTTACCTTGCCATAGACTCAGCAGAAAGTTCTCTCAGTTTTTTCATTTATTTATTTATTTAAATTTTCAATATTTATTTATTATTTATTTATTTATTTATTTATTTATTTATTTTATTGGAGTTTGACTTGCCAGTGTATAGCATAACACCCAGTGCTCATCAGTCTTTTTTAAGATTTTAAAAAAAATTTATTATTTTATTACTTATTAAATAATAAATTTTTTAAAATATTTTTTTAAAAATTTATTATTTATTTTATTTTTTGACAGAGAGATGGAACCAGAGAGCCCAAGCCGGGGGGAATGGCAGAGGGAGAGGGAAAAGAAGGCAACCTGATGCAGAATTCGATCCCATGACCCCGGGATCAGGACCTGGGCCAAATACAGATGCTTAACTGACTGAGCCACCCCGGCAGCCCTCGGTTTTATTCTTTGTCTCCTTTTCTTTCAGAGCATTTCATCAAGGCCCTGCCTGAATACCACGTGGTGGCCCCTGTCCGGGTAGACGCCAGCGGGCGGTTTCTGTCCTATGGCTTGCACCCTCCCATCACCAGCAACCGGAGGAGGAGAGATTTGGCTGGCCCGGAGGATCGGGCCTATTACAGGATTTCACATGAGGACAAGGACCTGTTCTTTAACTTGTCGGTCACTCAGGGATTTCTTTCCGAAAGCTATATCTTGGAGAGGAGACACGGGAACCTGTCCCACGTGGAGATGGTGGCTTCCTCGGCGCCCCCCTGCCACCTGACGGGCACGGTTCTGCAACAGGGCACCAGGATGGGGACTGCCGCACTCAGCGCCTGCCAGGGACTGGTGAGTGCCCGCGTCCGTCCCCTCCTTCCCTGCCCCAGGCTCCTGTCCCCTCGGCCTGCACCCCGAGGACCAGTGGGTTCACCCACACATTCAGTGCACACCAGTCGAACGCTTGTGATGCGCACGGTCCCGGCTGCCACGTGGCCTGGGGAGCCCTGCATACGAGTCCAACGGAGCAATCTGGGAGGCGTGAAGAGTAAGGGCGCTGGGGGCCCCCCACCCCGAGCAGGGGACACTCAACCAGGAGCCACACGGCGGGAAGGGAGGGTTGGATGCAGTTGGGGCTTCAACCCCGGAGGCCGCTCAGAGGGTATCGCGCCCGGCTGGCTGGCCAGCTGCTCTTGGATTAGGAAAGCCTGGATGTGGGCTGAAGGGCGAGGCTCACTAGTAGTGATGGGGGTGGTAGCAGCTGCGGCCGTATCGTCCTTGACGGTGTGGACTTCGTGGTCATCCTTCGTAGGGAACGTAGGCTGCCGGTTTATCCCTTCGTGCCTTTGTCCTCATCCGGCAAACCCACCTCCTCGAGCAGGGCTTGGCGAAGGACAGGCCGCAGACCGAATCCGACTGCCTCTTGGTTTTGTAAATGAAGTTTTATTGGAACACGGATAAGCCCACGTGTTCACATTCTCTAAAGCTGCTTTCCAACCACAACAGCGGAGCTGAGTAGTTGACATCAGGACTGTATGGCCCATGAGGCCCCCAAATTGCTATCTGGCTTCCACTGGAAAAAAACAAATGCCAATCCCTGTAATAAGCTATTGTGAGAATTTTTTTTAAAGATTTTATTTATTCATGAGAGACAGAGAGAGAGAGAGAGAGAGAGGCAGACACAGGCAGAGGGAGAAGCAGGCTCCATGCAGGGAGCCCGACGCGGGACTCCATCCCAGGACCCCAGGATCAGGCCCTGGGCTGAAGGCGGTGCTAAACCTCTGGGCCACCCGGGCTGCCCTATTGTAAGAATTAAATGAATTGACATATATAAACACCTTAGAAGAGTGCTTAGGAATAATATACACTCCATGGATATTGACTGCTATTATCATTTTTTTCAATGTTTCCAATATGCCAGGTACTGGAATGTGTGGTTTATGAGGTGGTTTATGTACATTGTCCTCTTCTGCCCCCAGGTCCCCATCTTGGTTACTTTTTAGTAGGTGATGAAGCTTGGAGATGTTGAATAACTTTATTGCACCGGTTAATTTGAGCCCGAGTTTCTCTACCTTTTACCAGTCGCCCTCTGATTCCTTCATCTCCCCTAGTTTTGGGAAACCACTAATCTACTTTCTGTCTCTGCTATCTATTTGAAGCCCTTATTTTAATAAGCCCTCCAGGAGATTCTGATGCTCACTGAAGTTTAAGAAGCACTGGAGTAGAGCAGTCATTCATAACTCCGGTTGAACATTAGGATCCACTGGGGGGCTTTTAAAAAGTGTCCATTCCCCCCACCCGTCCTTCCAGATATTCTGATTTAACCGGTCTGAGGGTGGAGCTTAGACATCAGTGATTATTTAAAGCTCCTTGGGAAATTCTAATGTGAGGTAGGTGTTGCCAGCTAATAGATTAGCATAAGTGGGTATTAATTAGCATCATTAGCCAATATTACTCTAAAGTAGCAGCTCTCCCCCAATAACTCCAGCGTGTAGCCAGAGTTGAGAACCACTGCTCTCAATTGCCCCCTTTTCATCTTGTGCTTTCTAAGGGAGCTTGCACACTGTTTAGCATTTTTCCAGGGTTGGGCACAGAATATTGGGAACTTTTCCATTTCAAATGGCCCCGGGGAGCAGTCCTGACTATCATGTGGGCATTTTCAGATTCCAATTCCTGTTTCATACTAACTGCAGTTAGTGGAATTGAGGCCAGGGTTTGTAAATGAAGTTTTATTGGAACACAGATAAGCCCATGTGTTTAGATTATCTAAGGCTGCTTTCCAACTACAATAGCAGAACTGAGTAGTTGAGATCAGGACTGTATGGCCCATTTGTACAAAGAGGCAAATATTAACTAATGATTAATCTTGGACTAATGTAGCTAAGATGATGGAAAATTCTAGATTCAAATTGCTGAATGATTCTGCCAGAAGAACCAATCTAGGGGATCCCTGGATGGCTCAGCGGTTTAGTGCCTGCCTTCGACCCAGGGCGTGGTCCTGGAGTCCTGGGATCTAGTCCCACATTGGGCTCCCTGCATGGAGCCTGCTTCTCCCTCTGCCTGTGTCTCTGCCTCTCTCTGTGTCTCTCATGAATAAATAAATAAAATCTTTTTTAAAAAAAGGAACCAATCTACTGGAATTATTTTGGAGTCTTTCATACAGAATTGAATGGCTAATGGACAGTTATAAAATAGGCACTAAAATCCAAATGAGTTTCTTTCCCTTCTGTGAGCGTTCAGGCTGGCTGGCTTCAAGTTCATTTGCCATAATCACCAGTCTCCTCATCAAAAGGGTAGTGGTGGGATTTGTGTCTGATTTCTCCTAATCACTAATCTGGGATCTGACTTCTGGGATATTTATTTTCCCTCTCACCCAAACATGACCCCACACTCAAATTCACAGGATGTCCCCCCCCCCCCCCCCCCCCGCCGCCCGTAAGGACAGAGATGGCATTCGGGAAGGCTTTCTGAGGGAGGAAGCATTTTCATGTGGAGCAGGACATCTGCTCCTCCTTTCTCTGGCTCAGGGCTGGCATATTCTTTGCTTTAGATGTAGTCAACCTAATGTTGGAGGCTGTGTTCTCTTGGAGTTGTCTATAATTTAAGGCCCACTTAGCTTCCCTTGGAGCAGGCTCAGATGGTTGCAAACTGAAGAAAGGTCACTCATGACAGGGCGTGGGGTGACCTCCTTCCTCCTTTTAATACCTTCCACATGGCTCTGGTCCCCATCCTCTTAGACCCTACTCTTGACTGAGTCAACCGTGTCCCAGCCCAGCAGCTCTCCCTCTGTTGTCTTTACCATTCTCATCTCTTTCTCCCTTCAAGTCTTTATAACCTTGAAGTTATGGAATTTGTTTCTTTTGAACAGTTTAGTTGATTGGGAACTTAGTTCTATTCTAAGTTCTTTGATGGAGAGACTGTGTTGTTTAATCATCCTCAGTGGGAGTCATTACCTGTGAGAATCCTCGTGGGGTGATTTTTGGATTTGCTATTATCAGGGGCCCTACAACGATTTGTCTGAGGTTAGTTTGTTGTTACTATTTATCTGAGATTTCTGCAAACTGTTACACTCCACGCTTAGGCATGATATAGGATTGGGGTTCACCCTTCATGGGTACTGCATTAACACTGATGGCTTGGTCTAGGTTCCCATTGCCTGGACTGTATGCTTAAATTAGTAAATATTTTGCTGTTTATTATTTTAATAAAAATTTTAAGTTCTTATTCATAGTCAGGGACAGTATTTCTCAGCTCAGGCTTTATTACAGTGAATATGGTTTTTGGTTCTATCTTAAACCCTAGCCTCGATTCCAGCCCGTACCAGGGAATTAGATCCTGAACCCTAATCTGAATAGCTCGCTAGTTGGTCATGGCACTCTCTCTTGAGGGCCACTCTGCTTCAACTCCTACTCACCTCTCTTTCCTTTTCCCTTTTGGCACATTGAGATTTTCTTTATTGTTTTGAGCTCAAGTCTGGATTAAAATCTTCAAAGAGGTGTTATTTTCAGTTTTATTTTTCAGTTTAATGCTTGATTTTAAGATAGTTGTGGTTTCATATGCAGTTATAAGAACTAGTACTGAGAGATCCCATGTACCCTTGACTCAGTCTTCCCCAATGGTAACATCTTGCAAAATTACTGTACAATATCATAGCCAACATTTTGACATTGATATAGTCAAGATGCTCCACATTTCCATGACAAACAATTCCTCGCGCTGACCTTTTATTTTTATTTTTTTAAAATATTTTATTATGAATAAATGACACAAAGAGAGGCTGAGACATAGGCAGAGGAAGAAGCCTCTCTCCCTGGAGGGAGCCTGATACCCGACTCGATCCCAGGACCCCGGGATCATGACCTGAGCCAAAGGCCACTGAGCCACTCAGGTGCCTCATCATGCTGATCTTTTTTTTTTTTAAATTTTTATTTATTTATGATAGTCACAGAGAGAGAGAGAGAGAGAGAGAGAGACAGAGACAGAGACACAGGCAGAGGGAGAAGCAGGCTGCATGCACCGGGAACCTGACATGGGATTTGATCCCGGGTCTCCAGGATCGCGCCCTGGACCAAAGGCAGGCGCCAAACCGCTGCGCCACCCAGGGATCCCTCAAGCTGATCTTTTATAGACACACCCATTTCCTTCCTGCCCTCAGCCCCTCCTTCTGTGTATGTTTTATGTTTAAGTAATGATCCGTTTTGAATTAATTTTTGTGTAAGATATGAGGCCTAGGTAGAGGTTCATTTGAACTCTCTCTTTTTTTCTTGTTGCCTATGGATGTCCAGTTGTTCCAGCACCATTTTTTTTAAAAAATTTTTAAATTTTTTAAAAAATTCCTTCCATTGAATTGCTTCTATACTTGTCATAAATCACTTAGACGTATTTTTGTGAGTCTGTTTCTGAGTTTTATGTTCTATTCCACTAGTAGAATCTTTATTACTATAGCTATATAATTAGTGTGGAAATCAAGTAGACTGATTCCTACCATTTTATGTTTTTCAAAATTGTTTTAGTAATTCTAGTTCCTTTGCCTTTCCATATAAGTTTTAGAATAATCTGACCACAAAAATTTGCTGAGATTTTGGTAGGAATTTTATTAAGCCTATATATAAATTTGGAGAATTGACGTTTGTTTAGTCCAATTCATGAACATGGTAGGTCTCTCCCATTTCTTCCCATGAGACCTATCCAGGTTGACTGATGGGACTGAAAGGTCCATGATGCTTGGTTTTCCCTCCTTCCCAAGGTGAGAATTCTATAGATCCTTGGGAAGAATTCTCACTCTGATGGCATTTCTCACCAGAAATTCTCCCAGTCTTTATCTTTGTATGTATCACCCATTAGGTGGGCTA